TCATCTCTCTCTCCCCCATCTCTCTCCCCCCATCTCTCTCTCCCCATCTCTCTCCCCCCATCTCTCTCTCTCCCCCATCTCTCTCTCCCCATCTCTACCTCTCTCCATCTCTCTCCCCCCATCTCTCTCTTTCTCTCTCTCTTCCCCCATTTTTCTCTCCCCCATTTCTCCCTCTCTCCATCTCTCACTCTCTTCATCTCTCTCCCCCCATCTCTCTCCCCCCATCTCTCTCTCCCCATCTCTCTCCCCCCATCTCTCCTCATCTCTCTCTCCCCCCATCTCTCTCTCCCCATCTCTCTCTCGCCATCTCTCTCTTTCTCTCTCTCTTCCCCCATCTTTCTCTCCCCCATCTCTCCCTCTCTCCATCTCTCACTCTCTCCATCTCTCTCTCCCCATCTCTCTCCCCCCATCTCTCCTCATCTCTCTCTCCCCCATCTCTCTCCCCCCATCTCTCTCTCCCCATCTCTCTCCCCCCATCTCTCTCTCTCCCCCATCTCTCTCTCCCCATCTCTACCTCTCTCCATCTCTCTCCCCCCATCTCTCTCTTTCTCTCTCTCTTCCCCCATTTTTCTCTCCCCCATTTCTCCCTCTCTCCATCTCTCACTCTCTTCATCTCTCTCCCCCCATTTCTCTCCCCCCATCTCTCTCTCCCCATCTCTCTCCCCCCATCTCTCTCTCTCCCCCATCTCTCTCTCCCCATCTCTACCTCTCTCCATCTCTCTCCCCCCATCTCTCTCCCCCCATCTCTCTCTCCCCATCTCTCTCTCTCTCCCCCATCTCTCTCTCCCCATCTCTCTCCCCCCATCTCTCCCCATCTCTCTCTCCCCCATCTCTCTCTCCCCATCTCTCTCTCCCCATCTCTCTCTTTCTCTCTCTCCCTCTCTCCCCATCTCTCTCCCCCCATCGCTCTCCCCCCATCTCTCCCCATCTCTCTCTCCCCCATCTCTCTCTCCCCATCTCTCTCCCCCCATCTCTCCCCATCTCTCTCTCTCTCCCCCATCTCTCTCTCCCCATCTCTCTCCCCCCATCTCTCCCCATCTCTCTCTCCCCCAACACTCTCTCCCCATCTTTCTCTCCCCATCTCTCTCCCCCCATCTCTCTCTCCCCATCTCTCTCTCCCCCATCTCTCTCTCCCCATCTCTCTCCCCCCATCTCTCCCCATCTCTCTCTCCCCCATCTCTCCCTCTCCCCATCTCTCTCTCCCCATGTCTCTCTCCCCATCTCTCCCTCTCTCCCCATCTCTCTCCCCCCATCTCTCTCCCCCCATCTCTCTCTTTTTTTTTCGACCACAGGAAAACAGAAGATGCTCGGTGTAGTCGGCACTTTGCTTCGTTCATCATTTCGGTTTTTTTTCTAATGCTTTGCTTTATGTAACCCCCTCCCCCCTTTTAAATGAAAGATTACCATCTCTCTCCCCGTCTCTCTCCCCCCATCTCTCTCTCCCCATCTCTCTCTCCCCATCTCTCTCTCCCCATCTCTCCCTCTCTCCCTCTCTCCATCTCTCTCCATCTCTCCCCATCTCTCTCCATCTCTCTCCATCTCTCTCTCCATCTCTCTCTCTCCATCTCTCTCTCCATCTCTCTTTGTGTGTGTGTGAAGTTTATTGTCCTTCCCCCACGCCTCTTCTTAGCACGGTTGGCTACGTACGGTGCGAAAGAAGTTCAACATACAGCACGCGCGCACGCACACAGGCGCACACACGCACACGCGCACACACGCACACGCGCACACACACGCACACACACACGCATACACACACGCACACACACGCGCGCACGTACACGCACACACGCACACACACTCACCACACGTGTGTATATAACGGTGCCCTCGTTCCAGCCAAAAATAACAGCAGCGTGAGCCACGGTCCTGAACCTCACCCATTTCCCCTCGGCATCAGGAGGAGGAGGACGTGGGTGGGTGGGTGAGATGGAACGATACCAACCCCAGCTGCAAGCGATGATGAAATTTAGTTTGACACGTAGCAGGCTTTGTGAACAATATCACTCATAATACAAGGGGGGGGGGGAGAGGGGGGGGGGGGTGGTTTCAGCACTAGTGTGTAGTGTAGTGTATAGTGTAGTATACTAGTACAGCACTAGTGTGTAGTGTATAGTGTAGTATACTAGTACAGCACTAGTGTGTAGTGTATAGTGTAGTATACTAGTACAGCACTAGTGTGTAGTGTATAGTGTAGTATACTAGTACAGCACTAGTGTGTAGTGTATAGTGTAGTATACTAGTACAGCACTAGTGTGTAGTGTATAGTGTAGTGTACTAGTACAGCACTAGTGTGTAGTGTATAGTGTAGTATACTAGTACAGCACTAGTGTGTAGTGTATAGTGTAGTATACTAGTACAGCACTAGTGTATAGTGTAGTATACTAGTACAGCACTAGTGTGTAGTGTATAGTGTAGTATACTAGTACAGCACTAGTGTATAGTGTAGTGTATAGTGTAGTATACTAGTACAGCACTAGTGTGTAGTGTATAGTGTAGTATACTAGTACAACACTAGTGTGTAGTGTATACTGTAGTGTATAGTGTAGTATACTAGTACAGCACTAGTGTGTAGTGTCTAGTGTAGTATACTAGTACAGCACTAGTGTGTAGTGTATAGTATAGTATACTAGTACAGCACTAGTGTGTAGTGTATAGTGTAGTATACTAGTACAGCACTAGTGTATAGTGTAGTATACTAGTACAGCACTAGTGTGTAGTGTATAGTGTAGTATACTAGTACAGCACTAGTGTGTAGTGTATAGTGTAGTATACTAGTACAGCACTAGTGTGTAGTGTATAGTGTAGTATACTAGTACAGCACTAGTGTGTAGTGTATAGTGTAGTGTACTAGTACAGCACTAGTGTGTAGTGTATAGTGTAGTGTACTAGTACAGCACTAGTGTGTAGTGTATAGTGTAGTATACTAGTACAGCACTAGTGTATAGTGTAGTATACTAGTACAGCACTAGTGTATAGTGTAGTGTATAGTGTAGTATACTAGTACAGCACTAGTGTGTAGTGTAGTGTATAGTGTAGCATACTAGTGTGTAGTGTGTAGTGTAGTATACTAGTACAGCACTAGTGTGTAGTGTATAGTGTAGTGTACTAGTATAGCACTAGTGTGTAGTGTATAGTGTAGTATACTAGTACAGCACTAGTGTGTAGTGTATAGTGTAGTGTACTAGTACAGCACTAGTGTGTAGTGTATAGTGTAGTATACTAGTACAGCACTAGTGTGTAGTGTATAGTATAGTGTAGTATACTAGTACAGCACTAGTGTGTAGTGTAGTGTATAGTGTAGCATACTAGTGTGTAGTGTGTAGTGTAGTATACTAGTACAGCACTAGTGTGTAGTGTATAGTGTAGTGTACTAGTACAGCACTAGTGTGTAGTGTATAGTGTAATATACTAGTACAGCACTAGTGTGTAGTGTATAGTGTAGTGTACTAGTACAGCACTAGTGTGTAGTGTATAGTGTAGTATACTAGTACAGCACTAGTGTGTAGTGTATAGTGTAGTATACTAGTACAGCACTAGTGTGTAGTGTATAGTGTAGTATACTAGTACAGCACTAGTGTGTAGTGTATAGTGTAGTATACTAGTACAGCACTAGTGTGTAGTGTATAGTGTAGTATACTAGTACAGCACTAGTGTGTAGTGTATAGTGTAGTCTACTAGTACAGCACTAGTGTATAGTGTAGTATACTAGTACAGCACTAGTGTGTAGTGTATAGTGTAGTATACTAGTACAGCACTAGTGTGTAGTGTATAGTGTAGTATACTAGTACAGCACTAGTGTGTAGTGTATAGTGTAGTATACTAGTACAGCACTAGTGTGTAGTGTATAGTGTAGTATACTAGTACAGCACTAGTGTGTAGTGTATAGTGTAGTATACTAGTACAGCACTAGTGTATAGTGTAGTATACTAGTACAGCACTAGTGTGTAGTGTATAGTGTAGTATACTAGTACAGCACTAGTGTGTAGTGTATAGTGTAGTATACTAGTACAGCACTAGTGTATAGTGTAGTATACTAGTACAGCACTAGTGTGTAGTGTATAGTGTAGTATACTAGTACAGCACTAGTGTGTAGTGTATAGTGTAGTATACTAGTACAGCACTAGTGTATAGTGTAGTATACTAGTACAGCACTAGTGTGTAGTGTATAGTGTAGTATACTAGTACAGCACTAGTGTGTAGTGTATAGTGTAGTGTACTAGTACAGCACTAGTGTGTAGTGTAGTGACGTGAAGGATCCAGAGACAAGGTGGGGGAAATCCCGAGTGGCACCAAGGAAATCGATTCGGTCTGTAATGGTGGTTTTGATGACGACGGTGATGATGATGAAGGTGGGAATGCTGATTGTAATGATGATTGTAATGCTGATTGTAATGATGATTGTAATGATGGTAATGTTGGTGTTGGTGATTGTGGTGGGGTAGTTATGATGCCAAGGTTGTTGCTGCTAACGATGCTCGCTAATGATGCTCATGGGGGCAATAGGTGAAGTCACAATGGTGATGACACTTATTGACGGTGATGATGGCCATGATGATGATAATGACGACTGTCATGATTATGCTGCTGCTGATCATGATGATTATAATCATGATGATGATGATAATAATGACGATCATGATGATAATGATGATCACGATGATGATAATGATCATGATAATAATGATCATGATGAGAATGATGATTATAATGATGATCATGATGGTGATGATGATCATGATGATGATCATGATGATGGTGATGATCATCATGATGGTGATGATGATCATGATGATAATGATCATGATGAGAATGATGATTATAATGATGGTGATCATGATGATGATCATGATGATGATCATGATGGTGATGATGATCATGATGGTAATGATCATGATGAGAATGATGCTAATGATGATCATTATGGTGATCATGATGGTGATGATGATCATGATGATGATGATCATGATGGTGATGATGATCATGGTGATGACCATCAGGCTGTCCTCCACTGGGCATGGAGTCCATGAAAGTGAAGGATGAACAGCTGATCGCCTCCAGCAGCCTTCGCTATGGTCTGGGACCACACCGCTCCCGACTGAACATCCAGGTCGGGCCACAACACTCACCACGCCACAACACTCACACCACAACACACACACACCACAACACTCACACCACAATAACAACAACACTCACACCACAACACGCACACACCACAACACACACACCACAACACTCACACCACAACACACACACCACAACACGCACTCACCACAACACACACACACCACAACACTCACACCACAACACACACACACCACACACACCACAACACACACACCACAACACACACAATACAACACTCACACCACAACATGCACACACCACACCACAACACAACACACACACCACAACACACACTACAACACAACAACAACAACAACCGCCATTCGCCACTAAGTGGCGGTGACGTCACCACGACGCTTGTGCCAGGCTATGTGCACCGTGAGGCCACGTGAAGTGTCGAACGCCCGCTGGCAGGAGGTCACTGGGCAGACCCAGGTGCCACGGGTCGACTGACTGAGATGACTGGCTGATGCACCACCTGTGCCCCCTACTGTGCCAACCTGCTGTGCTTTAGCCACCCGGCGCTCCGCTCGTTGTTCTGAGCGTCGCTCCTCCGCCCTCCGTTGTTGTTGGAGGGCGACTGCCTCCAACTGCCCAGTAGCATCCTTCACGAGCCTCCTCCACAGAGACCGATCTTGACACCGCTGGTACCAGTCATCGGAAAGTCCACTCAGCTCCACGTCCTCCTGTACCACATCACTCCATCTCTTCTCTAGCCCGTGCCGCGCCCGCTTAGCCCCCTCAATCCGGCCAAACAAAAGCTGTTTCGGCATGCGGTGGCTGGGCATGCGGGCTACATGACCCAGCCATCGCAGCCTTGCCTGCCGGAGGAGCTCACCGATGGGACCCTGCCCAGATCTTTCAAGGATTTGTGAGCTCCTCACACAATCCAGTCTGGTTAAACCCAGGATGGATCGTAGGCAGGCCAGCCTAAATGTTTCTAACCGGCGAAGATGTTCCACTAGGGGGTCCACGTTTCGCAAGCGTAGAGAAGGGAGGGAATGACCGTGGCCGAGAAGACCTGAAGCTTAGTGCGGAGCGACAGACCAGGTAGCTTCCACACAGCGTTACGCAACCGATGAAAAGATATTGCCGCTCGACTGATTCGGAGTGAGACCTCTGCTGTTAAACTGGAGCCAGTCATAAGCACACTGCCCAGGTATGGGAAACTCTCCACTCTCTCCACAACTGCCCCATCACCGATTGGGAGTTGTGGGGGTGGAGTGTCCGATGGTACAAAATACCCAGGCAGGTGCTTAGTTTTGGTGGGGCTGATGGTAAGGCCCCACCTCTTAGTGGCACGCTCCAGTCTCAGCAGCAGCGTCTCCAACTCCTCCTCTGACTGAGCAGCTATTACCAAATCATCAGCATACATAACGTGGTTGAGCAATAGGGAGCCATCCCTTGACCGCACCCGGGCATCGATTAGCCTCCCATTATATCTGTACCATATGGAGATTCCCCCGGTACAGCTATTGAAGGCTTCACGAACTACGTGGTCAAAATAGATGTTAAATAATGTGGGAGCCAGAGGACATCCCTGTCGCACCCCAAGGTGTACAGGGAATGGCTCTGACTCCCGGCCACGTAGTTTTACCCGGGCCCGCTCACCATCATGAAGGTCCTTAATGATCGTGAGCAGAGGGTCAGGTACTCCAAAAGCACGAAGAACGACCCAGAGCCCAGGCCTACTGATGGTATCATAGGCCTTGACCAGGTCAATAAAGCAGAGATGTAGGTCTTGTTGGAATTCCCTACACCTCTGCTGTAGCAGACGGACAGAAAATATGGCATCTGTGCAGGACCGCCCTTTCCTGAAACCGCATTGGGGCTCCGCAAGCCTCTCCTCAGCGTGCCTGGCGAGGCGATGCTGAATAATCCTTGCCAGGACCTTTCCCGGCACACTGAGGAGTGAGATGCCCCTGTAGTTGTTACAGTCTGTGCGGTCCCCCTTCTTAAAAAGGGGGACCACCAGGGCATCCTTCCAATCCTGCGGAACCCGTCCAGTGGTCCAGATTGTTGTTATGATGTCATATAGGGCAGTCTGTGCACAAACGCCATCCTCCCTCAGCATTTCGCTTGGGAGATCATCTCTGCCCGCTGCCTTTCCTGGTCTCAGACTCCGGATCGCCTTCAATATTTCCTCAGCAGATGGCACCTCAGCCAGCCACTCACAGGGGGTGACTTCTTCCAATATTTGAGGCACCGCAGCCTCAGCAGGGTCATCCTCACCTTGTGCCACGTTGTTTTCCTGGCTGTGGGATTTTCCCTCCCCCAGGACCTCACAGAAATGCTCAGCAAATCTGCGAACCTGTTCCTGGGGGTCGGAGATTGGATCACCGTTTTTTCCCCTAATGATGGTAATAGGTGTGGTGCTGCAGGTTACTTTTTTGATGGAGTTAAATAGAGATTTGTGATCACGGGCCACTGAGGCAGACTCCATCTCCTCAGCAACCCGCGACCACCACCCATCCTTGCAGCGCCTCACGGCTCTCCGAACCTCCGAGCGAAGGCTGTGGTAAGCCTCCTCATTCTCTGACGTGGGATTCTGTAGCCGATGACAGTGGGCCTGTCGCTTTTTCTCAACCATCCTGAACACCTCCTCTGTCAGCCAGGGTCTCTGGGGAGGTCTGGACCGCGTACCCAAAGCAGCCATTGCAGCTGCATGAGTCACAGTCCTAAACCTCGCCCATTTACCCTCGACATCAGGAGGAGCCGGGGACGATGCCAATCCCAGCCGCAAGCGATGATGAAATTCTCGCTTGCAACTTTCATCAGATAATTGAGACCAGGCCACTTTATGTTGGAATGGGGTCCTGGGTGTACACCCACCACCGGAGTGGAAGAATGGCAGGCGCATCTTACAGATGACTAGTCGATGGTCAGAGGGCAGATCAGCTCCACGGTAGGTCCTGGTGTCAAGGACATGGGCTCGCATTCGCTGGTCTGTCACTATGTAGTCCAGCAGATGTTCTTGCTTGGACCCGGCATGCATCCATGATGTTGTGTGGATGCGCCGATGCCGGAACAGCGTGTTGGTAATTACAAGCCCATGGGCTGCACAAAAATCTAGCAGCCTCCTACCGTTGTTATTGAGCTGATCTGGCCCATGCCCTCCAATCACTCCAGACCAGGTGCCAGTATCATGACCAACTCGGGCATTGAAGTCACCCAACATGATGACTCTATCCCGAGGGGTCACTTTAGCCAGCACCTGTGACAGGAGGTCATAGAAGGCATCTGACTCATCGGCTTTGCCTGCATCCCTCCACGGATGTTCATCTTCGGTGGGGGCATAAGTAACCACGACCACCATTCCTCGCCTCCGGTTGATGGGAAGGCGAGCCCAACACACACACACCACAACACACACTACAACACTCACACCACAACACATATACCACAAACACACCACAACATACACACCACAACACTCACACCACAACACACACACCACAACATGCACACACCACAACACACACACCACAACACACACCACAACACATACACCACAACACACACACTACAACACTCACACCACAACACACACACCACAACACACACACCACAACACACACTCCACAACACACACTCCACAACACACACACCACAACACACACCACAACACAAACATCACAACACTCACACCACAACATACACACCACAACATACACACCACAACATTCACACCACAACATACACCACACCACAACACACACTCCACAACACACACACCACAATAACAACACTCACACCACAACACACACACCACAACACACACACACCACAACACACCACAACACACACACCACAACAACACACACAACAACACACACACTACAACACTCACACCACAACACACACACTACAACACATACACCACAACACACACACTACAACACTCACACCACAACACACACACCACAACACTCACACCATAACACACACCACAACAACACACACACCACAACACACACACACTACAACACTCACACCACAACACACACACACTACAACACTCACACCACAACATACACACCACAACATTCACACCACAACACACACACACCACAACACACACACCACAACACTCACACCATAACACACACCACAACACACATACACCACAACACACACACACTACAACACTCACACCACAACACACACACACTACAACACTCACACCACAACATACACACCACAACATTCACACCACAACACACACACACACCACAACATGCACACACCACAACACACACACCACAGCACTCACACCACACCACAACACACACACCACAACACACACACTACAACACTCACACCACAACACACACCACAACACATACACCACAACACACACACTACAACACTCACACCACAACACACACACCACAACACACACACACCACAACACACACTCCACAACACACACTCCACAACACACACACCACAACACACACCACAACACAAACATCACAACACTCACACCACAACATACACTCCACAACATTCACACCACAACACACACACCACACCACAACACACACTCCACAACACACACACCACAACACTCACACCACAACACACACACCACAACACACACACACCACACACACCACAACAACACACACAACAACACACACACTACAACACTCACACCACAACACACACACAACAACACATACACCACAACACACACACACTACAACACTCACACCACAACACACACACCACAACACTCACACCATAACACACACCACAACAACACACACACCACAACACACACACTACAACACACACCACAACAACATACACCACAACACACACACTACAACACTCACACCACAACAGACACACACTACAACACTCACACCACAACATACACACCACAACATTCACACCACAACACACACCACAACACACACCACAACACACACTCCACAACACACACACCACAACAACAACAACACTCACACCACAACACACACACCACAACACACACACACCACAACACACACACTACAACACACACCCCAACACACACCACAACACAAACACCACAACACACACACACCACAACACTCACACACCACAACACACACTACAACACTCACACCACAACACACACCACAACACACATTCACCACAACACACACACACTACAACACTCACACCACAACACACACTACAACACATACAACACAACACACACACCACAACACACACACCACAACACTCACACCACAACACTCACACCACAACATGCACACACCACAACACACACACACCACAACACTCACACCACAACACACACCACAACACACAACAACAACAACAACCGCCATTCGCCACTAAGTGGCGGTGACGTCACCACGACGCTTGTGCCAGGCTATGTGCACCCTGAGGCCAGGGTGCACAACACACACACACCACAACACACACACACTACAACACACACACCACAACACACACACCACAACACACACACACCACAACACACACCACAACACACACACCACAACACACACACCACAACACTCACACCACAACACACACACACCACAACACTCACACCACAACACACACACACCACAACACTCACACCACAACACACACACACCACAACACACACACCACAACACACACACCACAACACACACACTACAACACACACCCCAACACACACCACAACACAAACACCACAACACACACACACTACAACACACACACCACAACACACACACCACAACACACACACACCACAACACACACACTACAACACACACCCCAACACACACCACAACACAAACACCACAACACACACACACCACAACACTCACACACCACAACACACACTACAACACTCACACCACAACACACACCACAACACACATTCACCACAACACACACACACGACAACACTCACACCACAACACACACTACAACACATACAACACAACACACACACCACAACACTGACACCACAACATACACACCACAACATTCACACCACAATACACACCACAACACACACCACAACACACACACCACAACATGCACACACCACAACACTCACACCACAACACTCACACCACAACACACACACCACAACACACACACCACAACACACACACACCACAACACACACACACCACAACACACACACCACAACACACACACACCACAACACACACACACCACAACACACACACCACAACACTCACACCACAACACTCACAACACACACACACCACAACACACACACCCCACAACACACACACCACAACACTCACACCACAACACTCACAACACACACACACCACAACACACACACCCCACAACATGCACACACCACACCGAACCACAATGTCCAGACTCAACAGATCCAGGTCACATGATGGTATGCTGTCTCTGTGTGGTATGCTGTCTATATGTGGTATGGTGTCTCTGTATAATATGCTGTCTCTGTGTGGTATGATGTATATGTATATGTGTGGTATGATGTCTCTGTGTGGTATGCTGTCTTTGTGTGGTATGATGTCTCTGTGTGGTATACTGTCTATGTGTGGTATGCTGCCTCTGTGTGGTATGCTGTCTGTAGTCCGGCATCGAGGATGGCGACGAGAGGGACGGCGCGTGGTGCGCCGGCGTCTCTGTGTGGTATGCTGTGGTATGACGCCTCTGTGTGGTATGCTGTGGTGTGACGCCTCTGTGTGGTATGCTGCCTCTGTGTGGTATGACGTCTGTAGTCCGGCATCGAGGATGGCGACGAGAGGGACGGCGCGTGGTGCGCCGGCGTCTCTGTGTGGTGTGCTGTGGTGTGACGCCTCTGTGTGGTATGCTGCCTCAGTGTGGTATGATGTATCTGTGTGGTATGATGTCTGTAGTCCAGCATGGAGGATGGCGACGAGAGGGACAGCGTGTGGTGCGCCGGCGTCTCTGTGTGGTATGCTGTGGTGTGACGCCTCTGTGTGGTATGCTGTGGTATGATGCATCTGTGTGGTATGCTGCCTCTGTGTGGTATGATGTCTCTGTGTGGTATGATGCCTCTGTGTGGTATGACGTCCGTAGTCCGGCATCGAGGATGGCGACGAGAGGGACGGCGCGTGGTGCGCCGGCGTCTCTGTGTGGTATGCTGTGGTGTGATGCCTCTGTGTGGTATGCTGCCTCAGTGTGGTATGACGTCCGTAGTCCGGCATCGAGGATGGCGACGAGAGGGATGGCGCGTGGTGCGCCGGCGTCTCTGTGTGGTATGCTGTGGTGTGATGCCTCTGTGTGGTATGCTGCCTCTGTATGGTATGATGCCTCTGTGTGGTATGACGTCTGTAGTCCGGCATCGAGGATGGCGACGAGAGGGATGGCGCGTGGTGCGCCGGCGTCTCTGTGTGGTATGCTGCCTCTGTATGGTATGCTGCCTCTGTGTGGTATGCTGTCTGTAGTCCGGCATCGAGGATGGCGACGAGAGGGACGGCGCATGGTGCGCCGGCGTCTCTGTGTGGTATGCTGTGGTGTGATGCCTCTGTGTGGTATGCTGCCTCTGTATGGTATGATGCCTCTGTGTGGTATGACGTCTGTAGTCCGGCATCGAGGATGGCGACGAGAGGGATGGCGCGTGGTGCGCCGGCGTCTCTGTGTGGTATGCTGTGGTGTGACGCCTCTGTGTGGTATGCTGCCTCTGTGTGGTATGATGTCTCTGTGTGGTATGATGCCTCTGTGTGGTATGACGTCTGTAGTCCGGCATCGAGGATGGCGACGAGAGGGACGGCGCGTGGTGCCCTGGCATCTCTGTGTGGTATGCTGTGGTGTGACGCCTCTGTGTGGTATGCTGTCTCAGTGTGGTATGATGCCTCTGTGTGGTATGACGTCTGTAGTCCGGCAATCGAGGATGGCGACGAGAGGGATGGCGCATGGTGCGCCGGCGTCTCTGTGTGGTATGCTGTGGTGTGACGCCTCTGTGTGGTATGCTGCCTCTGTGTGGTATGACGTCCATAGTCCGGCATCGAGGATGGCGACGAGAGGGACGGCGCGTGGTGCGCCGGCGTCTCTGTGTGGTATGCTGTGGTGTGACGCCTCTGTGTGGTATGCTGTCTCAGTGTGGTATGACGTCCGTAGTCCGGCATCGAGGATGGCGACGAGAGGGACGGCGCGTGGTGCGCCGGCGTCTCTGTGTGGTATGCTGTGGTGTGACGCCTCTGTGTGGTATGCTGTCTCAGTGTGGTATGACGTCCGTAGTCCGGCATCGAGGATGGCGACGAGAGGGACGGCGCGTGGTGCGCCGGCGTCTCTGTGCGGTATGCTGTGGTATGACGCCTCTGTGTAGTATGCTGTCTCAGTGTGGTATGATGTATCTGTGTGGTATGATGTCTGTAGTCCGGCATCGAGGATGGCGACGAGAGGGATGGCGCGTGGTGCGCCGGCGTCTCTGTGTGGTATGCTGTGGTGTGACGCCTCTGTGTGGTATGCTGTCTCAGTGTGGTATGATGTATCTGTGTGGTATGATGTCTTTAGTCCGGCATCGAGGATGGCGACGAGAGGGACGGCGCGTGGTGCGCCGGCGTCTACGACACGAGCCAGTGGCTGCAGCTGGACGCCCTCCACCTCACCCTCTTCACGGGCGTCATCACGCAGGGCCGCAGCTCCATATGGACGTGAGGAGGTCCCACCAACATCATCGCCATCGTGGTCACCGCAACCATCAGCACAATCATCATCATGAGCAGCAGCAGCAGCAGCTAAAGCTGGTGATGATGATGTTGTTGTTATGATGAAGCGATGACACTAATGACGATGGCGATATGATTTTTTTTTAAGTGTTGATGTTATGATGATGTTATGTTGTGATGATGTTATGATGATGATGATGATGATGATATGATTTTATGATGATGTTATGATGATTATGTTATGATGATGATATTACGACGATATAAGCATGATTATGTTATTGGTGATGATGCTGATATGATGATGGTATGATGCTATTATGATGACCTGATTATTATATTATGATGATGATGGTATGAAGATGTGAGTTGTTATGATGATTATGATGTTATTATGATAATGATGATGTTAATATTAATGATGGCGGCGATGTTGTTGTTATTATTACGATGACGGTGGTGTTGTTATTATTATGATGATGACAACGACGATGCTGGTATGATGATGATGATGATATCACCCACAGGTTAAACTGGGTCACGTCATTCCGCGTCTTCTTCAGCAACGACACCGTAGGCTGGTTCCCCTACCGCACCAGGGACTACGACGTGGTGAGAGGGCGATTCCCCCTGCCCACCAGGGACGTGAGGTCAGGGCAGGCAGAGCCTCGTCCGTCATACGCCAATGGAAATAGCTGTTACGAAAAGTTACAACAACAAAAAAAAAGAGAATAATCAAATGAAATAAATGTCAAGATTTTCCCCCACTGGTAAATGCGTTATAGATGTCATTTCTGTACGATTCCAATCATTTTTACGGTCGAAATCGCCAAAATTTGCGGAGGTGAGGCAGCGACGGGCTCAGCCTCCCCTCTGATTGCGCAACCCCTCAGTAACTGGATGGAGAGCGGGCAATAAGCGCGTGCCTGTTACCATCTCTGTGTGTCACCAATGTCATGTTTGTAGACCCCTTCATTTCATGTCCTCGCCTTCCATAGTCCAGGTAACTTCTTTCACGTATTGTGTGTATAAAGATATTTAGGCTCGCTGGTCTCGTCATGAAACTGCAATGAAAAAGCACCGGGGGAGGCAGCTATCACGTCTGCCTCACTGAGGGAGGCGCGTCAGACACGCCCCTCCTCAGTAAGGACACGCCCCCCTCAGCACGTGTCAGATACGCCCCCCTCAGTGAGGACACGCCCCCCTCAGCACGTGTCAGATACGCCCCCCTCAGTGAGGACACGCCCCCCTCGGTGAGGCCACGCCCCCGCTCAGTGTGTGAATCTGACTCTGACACTAGCCAGTGCCTCCCCCCAGCCATTGACCTCACCGCACGTCACTGCTGCCTACGTGGTCAGGCGCAACACGTGGTTCAGGCGCAACACGTGGCCAGGCGCAACACGTGGTTCAGGCGCAACACGTGGTTCAGGCGCAACACGTGGCCAGGCGCAACACGTGGCCAGGCGCAACACGTGCTTAGCTTCATAATCGAGGTTTTTTTTAGAGGAGGGGGGGGCGGAAGGGGGAGGAGTTAGATTGCGTCAATATACATGTTGTGTCGTTAAACCCGCCACCACCCGACACGGCCAATCAGTGAGGTTAGTGTCACGTAAACAGGACGTGACCAATTCGTGACGAGTACAGCACTAGTGTACAGTGTAGTGTGTAGTGTACAGTGTAGTGTGTAGTGTATAGTTTAGTGTGTAGTGTAGTGTATGGTGTAGTGTGTAGTGTAGTGTGTAGTGTAGTGTATGGTGTAGTGTGTAGTGTAGTGCGTAGTGTAGTGTATAGTGTAGTGTGTAGTAGTGTAGTGTGTAGTAGTGTAGTGTATAGTGTAGTGTAGTGTATGGTGTAGTGTGTAGTGTAGTGTATAGAGTAGTGTGTAGTGTAGTGTATGGTGTAGTGTAGTGTGTAGTAGTGTAGTGTATAGTGTAGTGTATAGTGTGTAGTGTATAGTAGTGTAGTGTATAGTAGTGTATCGTAGTATAGTGTGTAGTGTATAGTGTAGTGCATAGTGTAGTTTATAGTGTAGTGCGTAGTGTAGTGTATAGTGTAGTGTGTAGTGTATAGTAGTGTAGTGTATAGTTGTATAGTGTAGTGTATAGTTTAGTGCGTACTGTAGTGTATAGTGTAGTGTGTAGTGTATAGTGTAGTGTATAGTAGTGTAGTGTATAGTGTAGTGTATAGTAGTGTAGTGTATAGTGTAGTGTATAGTAGTGTATTGTATAGTAGTGTATAGTAGTATAGTGTGTAGTGTATAGTGTAGTGTATAGTAGTGTAGAGTATAGTGTAGTAGTGTAGTGTATAGTGTAGTAGTGTAGTGTATAGTGTAGTAGTGTATAGTGTAGTGTATAGTAGTGTATAGTAGCATAGTGTATAGTGTGTAGTGTATAGTGTAGTGTATAGTGTAGTATACTAGGACAGCACCACGGGTTGTGTATTGTAGAGCAAATCCACAACAACAAAGCGTTTATATTATGGACGCTGAAATTTCCATTTTGTAACAGATCAATAATACAGACATTTTTGGGGGTGAGATCGCATCAATATAAATACTGTGTCGTAACCCTCCACCACCCGACACAGCCAATCAGTAAGGGATTTGTCACGTAAACAAAACGCCAATTAGTTAGAAGTGAAGTGCACGGTACAAGACAAAGATCCCCCGTGTAGCCTTAACAGACTGTAGGGGCAAGTGCTGTTAGCGAGCACCTATGAAGGCCGGCACGGCACACGAGGGGGTGGGTGGCCAACACCACGCCCGGCCGCCTTTGTCTCCCTAGTGGCGATGTTTACTACACACCGCACCAGGTACTCATTCGAGGCTGAGTCGACCTTGGGGAGGTCCGGGACCGGTTCAGATAATCGTCACTGGGTGTTGGCCGTGAGCGGGAATCGAACCCGGGTCGCTGGGGTCGTAGGGCAGCGTAGCTCTAACCACTACACCACCGCTCCCCCAAGTGCACGATACACACCTCACTACCATACACACTGCACCACCATACACACCACCATACACACCGCACCACACATACACACTGCACCACCATACACACCACACCATGACCCCCCACCCTCCCTCTCCTCCATCACCCCCCTGCCCCCCCCCTGCCCCCCCGTCCCCCCTGCCCCCCCAGTATTTCCCAGGCAACAGAGACGCAGAGACGCCGGTGCTCACGACTTTCCCGGTAGCCGTGGCGGCCCGCTACCTCCGCATCAACCCACAGAATTGGTTCCACAACGGCAGCGTCTGCCTACGCTTGGAGGTTCTGGGCTGTCTCCTCGAGGGTCAGTGCCCTTCTCCACTGCTGGATGATGATGATGATGATTATCATCCCCGCAAGTGCACGCACGTGCCGCGCAACGCGACACGCACCACGTGCACACACACCACGTACACACACACACACCACGTACACACACACACCACGTACACACACACACACCACGTACACACACACACCACGTACACACACACACCACGTACACACACCACGTACACACACCACGTACACACACCACGTACACACACACCACGTACACACACCACGTACACACACCACGTACACACACCACGTACACACACCACGTACACACACACACCACGTACACACACCACGTACACACACCACGTACACACACACCACGTACACACACACACACCACGTACACACACACACCACGTACACACACACCACGTACACACACACACACCACGTGCACACACACACCACGCACACACACACACCACGTACACACACGCACCACGTACACACACACACCACGTGCACACACACACCACGTACACACACACACCACGTACACACACACACACCACGTACACACACGCACCACGTACACACACACACCACGTACACACACACCACGTGCACACACACACACCACGTACACACACACACACACCACGTGCACACACCACGTACACACACACATCACACACACACACCACGTACACACACACACCACGTACACACACACACCACGTACACACACACACCACGTACACACACGCACCACGTACACACACACACCACGTACACACACACACACCACGTACACACACACACACACCACGTGCACACACCACGTACACACACACACCACACACACCACGTACACACCACACAACCCCACGTACACACACCACGTACACACACCACGTACACACACACACACCACATACACACACACCACATACACACACACCACGTACACACACCACGTACACACACCACGTACACACACACACACACGCACCACGTGCACACACACACACCACGTACACACACCACGTACACACACACCACGTACACACACACACACTACGCACACACCACGTACACACACCACATACACACACACCACACACACCACGTACACACAGCACGTACACACACACACCACACACACCACGTACACACACACACCACGTACACACACCACATACATACACACACAGCACACACACCACGTACACACACACACCACGTACACACACACCACACACCACACACACCACGTACACACACCACGTACACAAACCACGTACACAGACACACCACGTACACACACCACGTACACACACACACCACGTACAAACACCACATACACACACACACCACATACACACACACACCACGTACACACACCACGTACACACACCACGTACACACACCACGTACACACACACACACCACATACACACACACACCACGTACACAAACCACGTACACAGACACACCACGTACACACACCACGTACACACACCACGTACACACACACCACGTACACACACACCACGTACATACATCACGTACACACACCACGTACACACACACACCACGTACACACACACCACGTACACACACCACGTACACACACACCACGTACACACACCACGTACACACCACGTACACACACACACACCACGTACACACACCACGTACACACACACACCACGTACAAACACCACATACACACACACACCACATACACACACACACCACGTACACACACCACGTACACACACCACGTACACACACCACGTACACACACACACCACGTACAAACACCACATACACACACACACCACATACACACACACACCACGTACACACACCACGTACACACACCACGTACACACACCACGTACACACACACACACCACATACACACACACACCACGTACACAAACCACGTACACAGACACACCACGTACACACACCACGTACACACACCACGTACACACACACCACGTACACACACACCACGTACATACATCACGTACACACACCACGTACACACACACACCACGTACACACACACCACGTACACACACCACGTACACACACACCACGTACACACACCACGTACACACCACGTACACACACACACACCACGTACACACACCACGTACACACACACACCACGTACAAACACCACATACACACACACACCACATACACACACACACCACGTACACACACCACGTACACACACCACGTACACACACCACGTACACACACACACACCACATACACACACACACCACGTACACAAACCACGTACACAGACACACCACGTACACACACCACGTACACACACCACGTACACACACACCACGTACACACACACCACGTACATACATCACGTACACACACCACGTACACACACACACCACGTACACACACCACGTACACACACCACGTACACACACACCACGTACACACACCACGTACACACCACGTACACACACACACACCACGTACACACACCACGTACACACACACACTACGCACGCACACACACACACCACGTACACACACCATGTACACACACACCACGTACACACACCACGTACACACACACACACCACATACACACACACACCACATACACACACCACACACACCACGTACACACACACCACAACCACACACACACCACGCACACACATACACCACGTACACACACACACCACGTACACACATACACCACGTACACACACACACACCACGTACATACATCACGTACACACACCACGTACACACACACACCACGTACACACACACCACGTACACACACCACGTACACACACCACGTACACACACCACGTACACACCACGTACACACACACACACCACGTACACACACCACGTACACACACACACTACGCACGCACACACACACACACCACGTACACACACCATGTACACACACACACCACGTACACACACCACGTACACACACACACACACACCACGTACACACACACACACCACATACACACACACATCACATACACACACCACACACACCACGTACACACACACCACAACCACACACACACCACGCACACACATACACCACGTACACACACACACCACGTACACACATACACCACGTACACACACACACACCACGTACATACATCACGTACACACACCACGTACACACACACACCACGTACACACACACCACGTACACACACCACGTACACACACACCACGTACACACACCACGTACACACCACGTACACACACACACACCACGTACACACACCACGTACACACACACACTACGCACGCACACACACACACACCACGTACACACACCATGTACACACACACCACGTACACACACCACGTACACACACACACACCACGTACACACACACACACCACATACACACACACATCACATACACACACCACACACACCACGTACACACACACCACAACCACACACACACCACGCACACACATACACCACGTACACATACACCACGTACACACATACACCACGTACACACACACACACCACGTACATACATCACGTACACACACCACGTACACACACACACCACGTACACACACACACCACGTACACACACCACGTACACACACACCACGTACACACACCACGTACACACACACACACCACGTACACACACCACGTACACACACACACTACGCACGCACACACACACACACCACGTACACACACCATGTACACACACACACCACGTACACACACCACGTACACACACACACACCACGTACACACACACACACCACATACACACACACATCACATACACACACCACACACACCACGTACACACACACCACAACCACACACACACCACGCACACACATACACCACGTACACACACACACCACGTACACACATACACCACGTACACACACACACACCACGTACATACATCACGTACACACACCACGTACACACACACACCACGTACACACACACCACGTACACACACCACGTACACACACACCACGTACACACACCACGTACACACCACGTACACACACACACACCACGTACACACACCACGTACACACACACACTACGCACGCACACACACACACACCACGTACACACACCATGTACACACACACACCACGTACACACACCACGTACACACACACACACCACGTACACACACACACACCACATACACACACACATCACATACACACACCACACACACCACGTACACACACACCACAACCACACACACACCACGCACACACATACACCACGTACACACACACCACGTACACACATACACCACGTACACACACACACACCACGTACATACATCACGTACACACACCACGTACACACACACACCACGTACACACACACACCACGTACACACACCACGTACACACACACCACGTACACACACCACGTACACACCACGTACACACACACACACCACGTACACACACCACGTACACACACACACTACGCACGCACACACACACACACCACGTACACACACCATGTACACACACACACCACGTACACACACCACGTACACACACACACACCACGTACACACACACACACACCACATACACACACACACATCACATACACACACCACACACACCACGTACACACACACCACAACCACACACACACCACGCACACACATACACCACGTACACACACACACACCACGTACACACATACACCACGTACACACACACACACCACGTACACACGAACCACGTACACACAGGTGTGGGCACAGTAGGGGGCACAGGTGGTGCATCAGTCGGTCATCTCAGTCAGTCGACCCCTGGCACCTGCTGGGTTTGTCCCCGTGGCCTTAACGTGCACATAGCCTGGCACAGGCAAATGGCGGTTGTTGTTGTTGTTGTTGGGCATTTACACATACAGCAGATGACTGTGTTCCGACTTACGAACCGTTCCGACTTACGAACCGTTCCGACTTTACGAACCGTTCCGACTTACGAACCGTTCCGACTGTACAAACCGTTCCCACTTACGAACCGTTCCGACTTACGAACCGTTCCTACTTACGAACCGTTCCGACTTTACGAACCGTTCCCACTTACGAACCGTTCCGACTTACGAACCGTTCCGACTGTACGAACCGTTCCCACTTACGAACCGTTCCGACTTACGAACCGTTCCAACTTACGAACCGTTCCGACTTACGAACCGTTCCGACTTACGAACCGTTCCGACTGTACGAACCGTTCCCACTTACGAACCGTTCCGACTTACGAACCGTTCCGACTTTACGAACCGTTCCAACTTACGATCCGTTCCGACTTACGAACCGTTCCTACTTACGAACTGTTACAACTTACGAACCGTTCCGACTTTACGAACTGTTCCGACTGTACGAACCGTTCCGACTGTACGAACCGTTCCGACTTACGAACAGTTCCGACTTACGAACGGGTCCCAGGAACGAGTTGTGTTTGTAAGTCGATGACTTATCGTAGCTTTAACAGGCTGTTGGGGCAAGTGCTGTTCGCGCGTAGCTATGCACGCCTGTCATTCAGCACTGGCCACTGACGATTAGGATCTGAATGCTGCTGATGATGATGTTGATATTACTGATGATAATGTTGATGATGTTACTGATGATAATGATGATGATAATGTTGATGATGTTACTGATGATAATGTTGATGATGTTACTGATGATAATGATAATGTTGTTGATGATGATAATGATAATGTTGATGATGTTGATGATGTTACTGATGATAATGATGATGATAATGATGATGATAATGATAATATTGATGATGATGTTGCTGATGATGTTGATGGTGATGTTGATGATGATCTCAGTGAATGATCCCCTATCCCACCAGACCCTTATGATGCTCGTGCTATGGATTTGGTCTCGTACGATGAGCTGGACTTCACTCACCACGACTACAAGGGCATGAGGAAGGTCAGGGAACATCCACGTGTCTCTCTCTCCCCGTGTCTCTCTCTCCCTGTCTCTCTCTCTCTCTCTCCCTGTGTCTCTCGCCGTGTCTCTCTCCCCGTGTCTCTCTTCCCTTTCTCTCTCCCCGTGTCTCTCTCTCCGTGTCTCTCTCTCTCTCCGTGTCTCTCGCCCTGTCTCTCTCCCCGTGTCTCTCTCTCTCTCTCTCCGTGTCTCTCGCCCTGTCTCTCTCCCCGTGTCTCTCTCCCCGTCTCTCTCTCTCCCCGTGTCTCTCTCTCCCCTGTCTCTCTCTCCGTGTCTCTCTCCCCGTGTCTCTCTCTCCCCGTGTCACTCTCCCTGTGTCTCTCTCCCCGTGTCTCTCTCCCCGTCTCTCTCTCTCTCCCTGTGTCTCTCGCTGTGTCTCTCTCTCCCCGTGTCTCTCTCCCCGTGTCTCTCTCCCTGTCTCTCTCTCTCCCCGTGTCTCTCTCTCCCTGTGTCTCTCGCTGTGTATCTCTCTCCGTGTCTATCTCCCCGTGTCACTCTCCCCGTGTCTCTCTCCCCGTGTCTCTCTCCCTGTCTCTCTCTCCCTGTGTCTCTCGCTGTGTCTCTCTCTCCGTGTCTCTCTCTCCCCGTGTCTCTCTCTCCCCGTGTCTCTCTCCCCGTGGCTCTCACCCCGTGTCTCTCTCCCCGTGTCTCTCTCTCCGTGTCTCTCTCTCCCCGTGTCTCTCTCCCCGTGTCTCTCTCTTCCCCGTGTCTCTCTCCCTGTGTCTCTCTCTCCCCGTGTCTCTCTCTCTCCCCGTGTCTCTCTCTCTCCCCGTGTCTCTCACTCCGTGTCTCTCTCTCTCTCCCCGTGTCTCTCACTCCGTGTCTCTCTCTCCCCGTGGCTCTCTCTCCCCGTGTCTCTCTCTCCCCGTGTCTCTCACTCCCTGTCTCTCTCTCTCCCTGCGTCTCTCGCCGTGTCTCTCTCCCCGTGTCTCTCTCTCCCCGTGTCTCTCTCTCTCCCCGTGTCTCTCTCTCCCCGTGGCTCTCTTTCCCCGTGTCTCTCCCTCCCTGTGTCTCTCACTCCCTGTCTCTCTCTCTCTCTCCCTGTGTCTCTCGCCGTGTCTCTCTCCCCGTGTCTCTCTTCCCTTTCTCTCTCCCCGTGTCTCTCTCTCCGTGTCTCTCTCTCTCTCCGTGTCTCTCGCCCTGTCTCTCTCCCCGTGTCTCTCTCTCTCTCTCTCCGTGTCTCTCACCCTGTCTCTCTCCCCGTGTCTCTCTCCCCGTCTCTCTCTCTCTCCCCGTGTCTCTCTCTCCCCTGTCTCTCTCTCCGTGTCTCTCTCCCCGTGTCTCTCTCTCCCCGTGTCACTCTACCTGTGTCTCTCTCCCCGTGTCTCTCTCCCTGTCTCTCTCTCTCCCTGTGTCTCTCGCTGTGTCTCTCTCTCCCCGTGTCTCTCTCCCCGTGTCTCTCTCCCTGTCTCTCTCTCTCCCCGTGTCTCTCTCTCCCTGTGTCTCTCGCTGTGTCTCTCTCTCCGTGTCTCTCTCCCCGTGTCACTCTCCCCGTGTCTCTCTCCCCGTGTCTCTCTCCCTGTCTCTCTCTCTCCCTGTGTCTCTCGCCGTGTCTCTCTCTCCGTGTCTCTCTCTCCCCGTGTCTCTCTCTCCCCGTGTCTCTCTCCCCGTGGCTCTCACCCCGTGTCTCTCTCCCCGTGTCTCTCTCTCCGTGTCTCTCTCTCCCCGTGTCTCTCTCCCCGTGTCTCTCTCTTCCCCGTGTCTCTCTCCCTGTGTCTCTCTCTCCCCGTGTCTCTCTCTCTCCCCGTGTCTCTCTCTCTCCCCGTGTCTCTCACTCCGTGTCTCTCTCTCTCTCCCCGTGTCTCTCACTCCGTGTCTCTCTCTCCCCGTGGCTCTCTCTCCCCGTGTCTCTCTCTCCCCGTGTCTCTCACTCCCTGTCTCTCTCTCTCCCTGCGTCTCTCGCCGTGTCTCTCTCCCCGTGTCTCTCTCTCCCCGTGTCTCTCTCTCTCCCCGTGTCTCTCTCTCCCCGTGGCTCTCTTTCCCCGTGTCTCTCCCTCCCCGTGTCTCTCACTCCCTGTCTCTCTCTCTCTCTCCCTGTGTCTCTCGCCGTGTCTCTCTCCCCGTGTCTCTCTTCGCTTTCTCTCTCCCCGTGTCTCTCTCTCCGTGTCTCTCTCTCTCTCCGTGTCTCTCGCCCTGTCTCTCTCCCCGTGTCTCTCTCTCTCTCTCTCCGTGTCTCTCGCCCTGTCTCTCTCCCCGTGTCTCTCTCCCCGTCTCTCTCTCTCTCCCCGTGTCTCTCTCTCCCCTGTCTCTCTCTCCGTGTCTCTCTCCCCGTGTCTCTCTCTCCCCGTGTCACTCTCCCTGTGTCTCTCTCCCCGTGTCTCTCTCCCTGTCTCTCTCTCTCCCTGTGTCTCTCGCTGTGTCTCTCTCTCCCCGTGTCTCTCTCCCCGTGTCTCTCTCCCTGTCTCTCTCTCTCCCCGTGTCTCTCTCTCCCTGTGTCTCTCGCTGTGTCTCTCTCTCCGTGTCTCTCTCCCCGTGTCACTCTCCCCGTGTCTCTCTCCCCGTGTCTCTCTCCCTGTCTCTCTCTCCCTGTGTCTCTCGCTGTGTCTCTCTCTCCGTGTCTCTCTCTCCCCGTGTCTCTCTCTCCCCGTGTCTCTCTCCCCGTGGCTCTCACCCCGTGTCTCTCTCCCCGTGTCTCTCTCTCCGTGTCTCTCTCTCCCCGTGTCTCTCTCCCCGTGTCTCTCTCTTCCCCGTGTCTCTCTCCCTGTGTCTCTCTCTCCCCGTGTCTCTCTCTCTCCCCGTGTCTCTCTCTCTCCCCGTGTCTCTCACTCCGTGTCTCTCTCTCTCTCCCCGTGTCTCTCACTCCGTGTCTCTCTCTCCCCGTGGCTCTCTCTCCCCGTGTCTCTCTCTCCCAGTGTCTCTCACTCCCTGTCTCTCTCTCTCACTGCGTCTCTCGCCGTGTCTCTCTCCCCGTGTCTCTCTCTCCCCGTGTCTCTCTCTCTCCCCGTGTCTCTCTCTCCCCGTGGCTCTCTTTCCCCGTGTCTCTCCCTCCCCGTGTCTCTCACTCCCTGTCTCTCTCTCCCTGCGTCTCTCGCCGTGTCTCTCTCCCCGTGTCTCTCTCTCTCCGTGTCTCTCTCTCCCCGTGTCTCTCTCCCCGTGTCTCTCTCTCCCCGTGTCTCTCTCTCCCCGTGTCTCTCTCTCCCCGTGTCTCTCTCCCCGTGTCTCTCTCCCCGTGTCTCTCTCTCCCCGTGTCTCTCTCTCCCCATGTCTCTCTCCCCGTGTCTCTCTCTCCCCGTGTCTCTCTCTCTCCCCGTGTCTCTCTTTCTCTCTCCCCGTGTCTCTCTCTCTCCCCGTGTCTCTCTCTCTCCCCGTGTCTCTCTCTCTCTCCCCGTGTCTCTCACTCCGTGTCTCTCTCCCCGTGTGTCTCCCTCTCTCCCCGTCTCTCTCTCTCTCTCCCCGTGTCTCTCACTCCGTGTCTCTCACCCCCTCCCCCCACCCTCTCCGCACAGCTGATGAGGGCTGTCAATGAGCAATGCCCTGACATCACTCGCATCTACAGCATCGGCCAGAGCGTCCAACACCGCAAGCTCTATGCCATGGAGGTGTCCGACAACCCAGGCGTGCATGAACCAGGTGAACAGTGGGGGGAGGCTGAACGAGATGACCGGTAGATGCACCACCAGCTGTACCCCCCTGCTGTGCCGGGCTAGGTGCAGGAGGTCACGGGGTCAGACCCAGCAGGTGCCATGGGTTGGCTGACTGAGATGACCGGTAGATGCACCACCAGCTGTACCCCCTTGCTGTGCCAGGCTAGGTGCAGGAGGTCACGGGGTCAGACCCAGCAGGTGCCATGGGTTGGCTGACTGAGATGACCGGTAGATGCACCACCAGCTGTACCCCCTTGCTGTGCCAGGCTAGGTGCAGGAGGTCACGGGGTCAGACCCAGGAGGTGCCATGGGTTGACTGAGATGGCCGGTAGATGCACCACAAGCTGTACCCCCTTGCTGTGCCAGGCTAGGTGCAGGAGGTCACGGGGTCAGACCCAGCAGGTGCCATGGGCTGACTGAGATGACCGGTAGATGCACCACCAGTTGTACCCCCCTGCTGTGCCAGGCTAGGTGCAGGAGGTCACGGGGTCAGACCCAGCAGGTGCCATGGGCTGACTGAGATGACCGGTAGATGCACCACCAGCTGTACCCCCCTGCTGTGCCAGGCTAGGTGCAGGAGGTCACGGGGTCAGACCCAGCAGGTGCCATGGGCTGACTGAGATGACCGGTAGATGCACCACCAGCTGTACCCCCATGCTGTGCCAGGCTAGGTGCAGGAGGTCACGGGGTCAGACCCAGCAGGTGCCATGGGCTGACTGAGATGACCGGTAGATGCACCACCAGCTGTACCCCCTTGCTGTGCCAGGCTAGGTGCAGGAGGTCACGGGGTCAGACCCAGCAGGTGCCATGGGTTGGCTGACTGAGATGACCGGTAGATGCACCACCAGCTGTACCCCCTTGCTGTGCCAGGCTAGGTGCAGGAGGTCACGGGGTCAGACCCAGCAGGTGCCATGGGCTGACTGAGATGACCGGTAGATGCACCACCAGCTGTACTCCCTTGCTGTGCCAGGCTAGGTGCAGGAGGTCACGGGGTCAGACCCAGCAGGTGCCATGGGCTGACTGAGATGACCGGTAGATGCACCACCAGCTGTACCCCCCTGCTGTGCCAGTCTAGGTGCAGGAGGTCACGGGGTCAGACCCAGCAGGTGCCATGGGCTGACTGAGATGACCGGTAGATGCACCACCAGCTGTACCGCCTTGCTGTGCCAGGATAGGTGCAGGAGGTCACGGGGTCAGACCCAGCAGGTGCCATGGGTTGACTGAGATGGCCGGTAGATGCACCACCAGCTGTACCCCCTTGCTGTGCCAGGCTAGGTGCAGGAGGTCACGGGGTCAGACCCAGCAGGTGCCATGGGTTGACTGAGATGGCCGGTAGATGCACCACCAGCTGTACCCCCTTGCTGTGCCAGGCTAGGTGCAGGAGGTCACGGGGTCAGACCCTGCAGGTACCATGGGCTGACTGGGATGACCGGTAGATGCACCACCAGCTGTACCCCCTTGCTGTGCCAGGCTAGGTACAGGAGGTCACGAGGTCAGACCCAGCAGGTGCCATGGGTTGACTGAGATGATCGGTAGATGCATCACCAGCTGTACCCCCCTGCTGTGCCAGGCTAGGTGCAGGAGGTCACGGGGTCAGACCCTGCAGGTGCCATGGGTTGACTGAGATGATCGGTAGATGCATCACCAGCTGTACCCCCCTGCTGTGCCAGGCTAGGTGCAGGAGGTCACGGGGTCAGACCCAGCAGGTGCCATGGGCTGACTGAGATGACCGGTAGATGCACCACCAGCTGTACCCCCCTGCTGTGCCAGGCTAGGTGCAGGAGGTCACGGGGTCAGACCCTGCAGGTACCATGGGCTGACTGAGATGATTGGTAGATGCACCACCAGCTGTACCCCCCTGCTGTGCCAGGCTAGGTGCAGGAGGTCACGGGGTCAGACCCTGCAGGTACCATGGGCTGACTGAGATGATTGGTAGATGCACCACCAGCTGTACCCCCTTGCTGTGCCAGGCTAGGTGCAGGAGGTCACGGGGTCAGACCCAGCAGGTGCCATGGGTTGACTGAGATGACCGGTAGATGCACCACCAGCTGTACCCCCCTGCTGTGCCAGGCTAGGTGCAGGAGGTCACGGGGTCAGACCCAGCAGGTGCCATGGGCTGACTGAGATGACCGGTAGATGCACCACCAGCTGTACCCCCCTGCTGTGCCAGGCTAGGTGCAGGAGGTCACGGGGTCAGACCCTGCAGGTACCATGGGCTGACTGAGATGATTGGTAGATGTACCACCAGCTGTACCCCCATGCTGTGCCAGGCTAGGTGCAGGAGGTCACGGGGTCAGACCCTGCAGGTACCATGGGCTGACTGAGATGATTGGTAGATGCACCACCAGCTGTACCCCCTTGCTGTGCCAGGCTAGGTGCAGGAGGTCACGGGGTCAGACCCAGCAGGTGCCATGGGTTGACTGAGATGACCGGTAGATGCACCACCAGCTGTACCCCCCTGCTGTGCCAGGCTAGGTGCAGGAGGTCACGGGGTCAGACCCTGCAGGTACCATGGGCTGACTGAGATGATTGGTAGATGTACCACCAGCTGTACCGCCCTGCTGTGCCAGGCTAGGTGCAGGAGGTCACGGGGTCAGACCCTGCAGGTACCATGGGCTGACTGAGATGATTGGTAGATGCACCACCAGCTGTACCCCCCTGCTGTGCCAGGCTAGGTGCAGGAGGTCACGGGATCAGACCCAGCAGGTGCCATGGGTTGGCTGACTGAGATGACCGGAAGATGCACCACCAGCTGTACCCCCCTGCTGTGCCAGGCTAGGTGCAGTAGGTCACGGGGTCAGACCCAGCAGGTGCCATGGGTTGGCAGACTGAGATGACCGGTAGATGCACCACCAGCTGTACCCCCTTGCTGTGCCAGGCTAGGTGCAGGACGTCACGGGGTCAGACCCAGCAGGTGCCATGGGTTGGCTGACTGAGATCACCGGTAGATGCACCACCAGCTGTACCCCATGCTGTGCCAGGCTAGGTGCACGAGGTCACGGGGACAGATCCAGCAGGTACCATGGGCTGACTGAGATGACCGGTAGATGCACCACCAGCTGTACCCCCTTGCTGTGCCAGGCTAGGTGCAGGAAGTCACGGGGTCAGACCCAGCAGGTACCATGGGCTGACTGGGATGACCGGTAGATGCACCACCAGCTGTACCCCCTTGCTGTGCCAGGCTAGGTGCAGGAGGTCACGGGGTAAGACCCAGCCGGTGCCATGGGCTGACTGAGATGACCGGTAGATGCACCACCAGCTGTACCCCCTTGCTGTGTCAGGCTAGGTGCAGGAGGTCACGGGGTCAGACCCAGCAGGTGCCATGAGTTGGCTGACTGAGATGACCGGTAGATGCACCACCAGCTATACCCCCTTGCTGTGTCAGGCTAGGTGCAGGAGGTCACGGGGTCAGACCCAGCAGGTGCCATGGGCTGACTGAGATGACCGGTAGATGCACCACCAGCTGTACCCCCTTGCTGTGTCAGGCTAGGTGCAGGAGGTCACGGGGTCAGACCCTGCAGGTACCATGGGCTGACTGAGATGATTGGTAGATGCACAACCAGCTGTACCCCCCTGCTGTGCCAGGCTAGGTGCAGGAGGTCACGGGGTCAGACCCAGCAGGTGCCATGGGCTGACTGAGATGACCGGTAGATGCACCACCAGCTGTACCCCCATGCTGTGCCAGGCTAGGTGCAGGAGGTCACGGGGTCAGACCCTGCAGGTACCATGGGCTGACTGAGATGATTGGTAGATGCACCACCAGCTGTACCCCCTTGCTGTGCCAGGCTAGGTGCAGGAGGTCACGGGGTCAGACCCAGCAGGTGCCATGGGTTGACTGAGATGACCGGTAGATGCACCACCAGCTGTACCCCCCTGCTGTGCCAGGCTAGGTGCAGGAGGTCACGGGGTCAGACCCTGCAGGTACCATGGGCTGACTGAGATGATTGGTAGATGTACCACCAGCTGTACCCCCCTGCTGTGCCAGGCTAGGTGCAGGAGGTCACGGGGTCAGACCCTGCAGGTACCATGGGCTGACTGAGATGATTGGTAGATGCACCACCAGCTGTACCCCCCTGCTGTGCCAGGCTAGGTGCAGGAGGTCACGGGATCAGACCCAGCAGGTGCCATGGGTTGGCTGACTGAGATGTCCGGAAGATGCACCACCAGCTGTACCCCCCTGCTGTGCCAGGCTAGGTGCAGTAGGTCACGGGGTCAGACCCAGCAGGTGCCATGGGTTGGCAGACTGAGATGACCGGTAGATGCACCACCAGCTGTACCCCCTTGCTGTGCCAGGCTAGGTGCAGGACGTCACGGGGTCAGACCCAGCAGGTGCCATGGGTTGGCTGACTGAGATCACCGGTAGATGCACCACCAGCTGTACCCCATGCTGTGCCAGGCTAGGTGCACGAGGTCACGGGGACAGACCCAGCAGGTACTATGGGCTGACTGAGATGACCAGTAGATGCACCACCAGCTGTACCCCCCTTGCTGTGCCACCACCACCACCACGTCGAGAATAGGCGCTCGCTAACTGCCTCTCCCCCCCCCCCCACTCACCAACAACTCACCAACAACTCACCGCCGACTCACCGCCAACTCACCGCCGACTCACCACCAACAACTCACCAACGACTCACCATCAACTCACCAACTCCTCACCAACAACTCACCGCCGACTCACCACCAACAACTCACCAACAACTCACCAACTCCTCACCACCAACTCACCAACAACTCCTCAACAACGACTCACCAACAACTCACCAACAACTCACCACCAACTCACCAACTCCTCAACAACGACTCACCAACAACTCACCAACAACTCACCAACTCCTCACCAACAACTCACCGCCGACTCACCACCAACAACTCACCAACTCCTCACCAACAACTCACCAACTCCTCACCAACAACTCACCGCCGACTCACCACCAACAACTCACCAACAACTCACCAACTCCTCACCAACAACTCACCACCAACTCACCAACAACTCCTCAACAACGACTCACCAACAACTCACCAACAACTTACCACCAACTCACCAACTCCTCAACAACGACTCACCAACAACTCACCAACAACTCACCAACATCTCATTACTAACTCACCGCCGACTCACCACCAACTCCTCACCACAACTCACCAACAACTCCTCACTCAACAACTCACCAACAACTCACCAACAACTCACTACCAACAACTCACCGCCAACTCACCACCAACTCCTCCCCAACAACTCACCAACTCCTCACCGCCAACTCACCGCCAACTCACCAACTCCTCACCCAACTCCTCACCCACCAACAACTCCTCACCGCAGGCGAGCCGGAGTTCCGCTACGTGGGAGGGATGCACGGTAACGAGGTGCTGGGCCGGGAGCTGCTGCTGAACCTCATGGAGTTCCTGTGCCGTGAATACCGCCAAGGGAACCGCAGGGTCCACTACCTCGTCAACAACACGCGGCTCCACCTGCTGCCCTCCATGAATCCCGACGGGCACGAGAGGGCCTTCCTCAAGGTGCGAGACCGCTGGACGCACTCTCCTCTACTTGTCTCTCTCTCTCTCCATTTCTCTCCGTGTCTCTCTCCATCTCGATCTCTCTCCATCTCCATCTCTCTCTCCATCTCGATCTCTCTCCATCTCCATCTCTCTCTCCATCTCTCTCGGTGTCTCTCTCTCCATCTCGATCTCTCTCCATCTCCATCTCTCTTTCCATCTCGATCTCTCTCCATCTCCATCTCTCCATCTCTCTCGGTGTCTCTCTCTCTCTCCATCTCGATCTCTCTCCATCTGTCGCTCCATCTCTCTCGGTGTCTCTCTCTCTCTCTCCATCTCTCTCGGTGTCTCTCTCTCTCTCTCCATCTCTCTCTCTCTATCTCTCTCTCCATCTCGATCTCTCTCTCTCTCTCCATCTCTCTCTCCATCTCCAGCTCTCTCTCCATCTGTCTCTCTATCTCTCTCCATCTCTCTCTCCATCTCTCTCGGTGTCTCTCTCTCTCTCCATCTCCAGCTCTCTCTCCATCTGTCCCTCAATCTCTCTCCATCTCTCTCCATCTCTCTCTCCATCTTCATCTCTCTCTCCAGCTCTCTCTCCATCTGTCTCTCCATCTCTCTCGGTGTCTCTCTCTCTCTCTCCAGCTCTCTCTCCATCTGTCTCTCCATCTCTCTCGGTGTCTCTCTCTCTCTCTCTCCATCTCTCTCTCCATCTTCATCTCTTTCTCCAGCTGTCTCTCCATTTCTCTCTCCATCTCTCTCCATCTCTCTCCATCTCTCTCTCCATCTCTCTCCATCTCTCTATCTCTCTCTCATCTCTCTCCATCTCTCTCTCCATCTCCATCTCTCTCTCCATCTCTGTTCATCTCCATCTCTCTCTCCATCTCCATCTCTCTCTCCATCTCTCTCTCTATCTCTCTCTCCATCTCTCTTCATCTCCATCTCTCTCTCGCTCCATCTCTCTCTCCATCTCCATCTCTCTCCATCTCCATCCATCTCTCACTCCATCTCTCTCTCTCTCCATCTCTCTCTTTTTTTTCGATCAGAGGAAAACAGAAGATGCTCGGTGTAGTCGGCACTTTGCTTCGTTCATCATTTCGTTTTTTTTAATGCTTTGCTTTATGTAACCCCCCCCCTTTTTAAATGAAAGAGTGTCCACCTAGATGGAGGACTTTGAGAAGGAGACACGGAGGTGGTGATTCTCCCCCAGGTCGTAGTTGTGGAGCTCAATAAGCGAGGAGACCGCCTCCTCCACAGAGCTCATCTGGAGCAACGCCATGCGGGGGTCCTTCGGGAAGAACTTGTAGCCTTTGACGCTGCCTCCTGTGTTGTCAAACAGAGACTTCAGCTCCTCCTCAGACACGGACGGTGGGATGTTGGTGAGGTGCAGCGTGGCGGAGGGCGGGAAGACGTTTTGGAAGTTCTTGGAGCCGGGCTTCTTGAAGCAGCGGTGATCCTCCTTGGTGAGGCCCTGGTCCTGGTGTCCCTCGCGAGGCAGCTGCACCGTCTGGTGCTTGGACAGGGCAACTGCACATGTTCTTACCGTGCTTGCGTACGCCGTTCAGGTGGCCCATGGCCAGCTGTGCCTGGTTGGAATCAGCCATCGGCACCAGGGCGCTTGTCTTTCTTGTTAAACGAAATCTTCGCCCTCTGCACGTTACCATAGACGCCGAAGAGGACACAGAGGCGGTTAAATTTCGATTTAAAGCTTTCGCGACAGCAAGGATTCATCTTTTTTGGTTCTTTCGGTAAAGTCACCACGTAGAATGAGAATAAAATAATAAAATAAAACAATAAAATTCTCACGACGTTTCGGCCGCAACACAAGTGGCCTTCTTCAGGTGAAAGGAGCAAGCCTGTCAGGACGACAGCGCTACAATGAACGCTGCTAAGATTCGCAGCAAGGTGCCTCACTTCTCTCAACCAGCTTAAAAGACGCTGCGAATCTTAGCAGCGTTCATTGAAGCTCTGTCGTCCCGACAGGTTTGTTCCTTTCACCTGAAGAAGGCCACTTGTGTTGTGGCCGAAACGTCGTGAGAATTTTATTGTTTCGTTTTATTATTTCACCCTCATTCTACGTGACCTTACCAAAAGAACCAAAGAAGAGGACAAAGGGGCTCTGCTGTGGCGTGACCATCTCAGCGTTGAGGCTGCTCACGAGCAGCACCGTGTTGCCGACTCCGGCCCCCATGCCGGGCAGGGCCACGGCCGCGCATGGCCGCGGAGGCCACGGCCGACACGGCCGCAGGGAGACCCAGCGGCCCCAGCTGGCCGGGCATGGCCAGGCGGTGATGCTGTAACTCCCGGTAATGCTGTCCGGGCGTCTGGGGAGAATCCGAAACCTCCTCCGTACGACTGAGACTGAATGATCCCCGGGGCTCCCAAGGCGGCGACAAATGGAGTTGTCGGAGAGGGGTTGCCTCCCACGACCGCCGCTAACCTCCCGAGGAAGCCGTCCCCGCTGGGCAGGTCGGGCCTGGTGCGGCCCCGGCTCTTGTCGTTGTTGCGCTTCACGTTGCCCGACGTTGAGAAGTCCACGCGCCGGGCGCAGCAGGCGTTGTAGGTGTGCTGTCCGTCTAGGGCAGGGGTCAGTCCATCAGGCCCGCCGTCAGAGCCTACGGTCTGACGTTACCATGGTTTCCATGGCAACACACACAAACACGCATCTTTCCTGCCCCCAAGTATTGAACAGAATGTTTATGAGGCCCGCGCTCTTCGTTCTATCAGTTATCCGGCCCGCTGTGAAAAAAGTTTGGTGACCCCCCTGGTCTAGGGCCATCTTGCTCTGGTGAGCGTGGATGGGGTCCGCGCCCTGCAGCAGGGCCTCGAACTGGTTTGTTCTCGGTGAAGGTGATCGCCCGCGGAACGGTCCCAAACTTAGACGAAGATCTGGTGAAGGACGTCCAGCGTGACCGGGTCAAAACAGGTTCTCCACCGACCACGTGCAGCACCGGGCTGAGGGCACCGGCCCCTCCCCCCTCCGTCATCCCCCCCCCCGCCGCCGCCTGGTTCTTGCCCTTGAGCGTGAGGATGTCGGTGACCTTGCCGAAGGGCATGGCCGGGGAGAGACGTCGCTGGGAAGCTTGCGGAAGAGGAGCACGCGGGAGGGCAGCCCGGGACCGCCGCCGGCGCCGCCGCCATCACCACGCGAGTCTCCCTTGAACTTCTTACCGTCGTTGCCATTGGCGGTCGTAGACCCGGAGTTCACGGCGGAAGGTCCGTTAGGAAACCCGGCAGAGTGAAGCTCCTCCAATCCTCTCTTAGCACCGGCAGGTATGTCTGAGACAATTCCGTCCATGGCAGGCGGAGGCAGCGCGGAGAGGAGCGGCGCGAGGGGGGCGGAAGTGGCCTCTCGCTCTCTCTCTCCATCTCTCTCTCTCTCCATCTCCCTCTCTCTCCATCTCTCTCCATCTCTCTCCATCTCCATCTCTCTCACTCCATCTCTCTCTCACTCCTTCTCACTCTCTCAATCTCTCTCCATCTCCCTCTCTCTCCATCTCTCTCTCCATCTCTCTCCATCTCTCTCTCCATCTCTCCATCTCTCTTTCCATCTCTCTCTCCATCTCTCTCCATCTCTCTCCATCTCTCTCCATCTCTCTCCATCTCTCTCTCCATCTCTCTCCATCGTTCTCACTCCTTCTCACTCTCTCCATCTCTCTCTATCTCCCTCTCTCTCAATCTCCCTCCATCTCTCTCTCCATCTCTCTCTATGGATCTCTATGGGTCAATGTGTGTTTCTATGGGTCTCTATGGATCTCTGTGGGTCTCTGTGGATCTCTGTGGGTCTATGTGGGTCTCTATGGATCTCTATAGATCTCTCTGTGTCTCTCTCTATGCGTGCATCTGTATGAATCGTCTCCGTGCACTTCCCACAATTCGCTCGACTTCCCCCGGGTGGATGGGGGAAAGGGGCGGGTCTCTGTGGGTCTCTATGGATCTCTGTGTGTTTCTGTGGGTCTCTATAGGCCTCTTTGGATCTCTATGGATCTCTATGGATCTCTATGGGTCTTTGTGGGTCTCTATAGATCTCTGTGGATCTCCACGGGTCTCTTTGGGCATCTGCGGGTCTCTGTGGGTCTCTATAGATCTCTGTGTGTCTCTATTGGTCTCTCTGCGTGTGTCTCTATTACCCCCCCCGGCCGCCCAACCGACCCCTCACCCCCCTCCCTTGCCCCCCCCCCCCTCGCCCCCCAACTCTGCAGGGCTCGGAGATGGCGGGCTGGGCGTACGGGCGCTACAATCAGCAGGGCATCGACCTCAACCACAACTTCGCCGACCTCAACTCCCTGCTGTGGAAGGCGGAGGAGGAGGGCCTCGTGCCCCACGCCTTCCCCAACTCTCACGTGCCCGTGCCCGACTGGTACAACCACCCCAACGAGTCCATGGTAGGGGTCAGGCGACGTGGGTGGGGGGGGAGGGGGAAGAAGGCGGGGGGGGCGGTGGAGGGGGGGAGAAGGGGATGGGATGGGAGGAGTAGAGGGGAGGGGAGGGGATAAAGAGGGGGGAGGATGGAGGAGAGGGGGAAGGATGGAGGGGAGGGGGGAAGGAGGGAAGGGGGGATGAAGGAGATGTGGGAGAGGGGAGTAGAGGAGGCGAGGGGGGAGTGGGAAGGCAGGGAGGGGTGGCATGGGAGCAGGGAGGAGGGGGGGGAGAGAGGGGAGAGTGGGAGGGGAGGTGAGAGGGTGCGGCGGGCCGCGTCTGGTAGAGAAATCTCGGTTCAATAATTCGGTGGAGAAATCTCGGTTCATTAATTCTGGTAGAGAAATCTCGGTTCAATAATTCTGGTAGAAAAATCTTGGTTTAATAATTCGGGTAGAGAAATCTCGGTTCAATAATTCTGGTAGAAAAATCTTGGTTCAATAATTCGGGTAGAAAAATCTCGGTTCAATAAATCAGTGGACAGAAATCTCGGTTCAATAATTCTGGTAGAAAAAATCTCGGTCCAATAATTCGGATAGAAAAATCTCGGTTCAATAAATCGGGTAGAAAAATCTCGGTTCAATAATTCTGGTAGAAAAATCTCGGTTCAATAATTCGGGTAGAAAAATCTCGGTTCAATAATTCGGTGGACAGAAATCTCGGTTCAATAATTCTGGTAAAAAAAAATTCGGTTCAATAATTCGTCAAAGAGAAATTTCGGTTTAATAATTCGGCGGAGAGAAATGTCGCGTAGAAAAATCTCGGTTCAATAAATCAGTGGGCAGAAGTCTCGGTTCAATAATTGCGGGTAGAAAAATCTCGGTTCAACAATTCGGTGGACAGATATCTCGGTTCAATAATTCTGGTTAAAAAAAATTTCGGTTTCTATAATTGGTCAAAGAGAAATTTCGGTTTAATAATTCGGCGGAGAGAAATGTCGCGTAGAAAAATCTCGGTTCAATAAATCAGTGGGCAGAAATCTCGGTTCAATAATTGCGGGTAGAAAAATCTCGGTTCAATAATTTGTCGGAGAGAAAAATCTCGGTTCAACAATTCGGCGGAGAGAAATCTCGCGGAAAGCTCGACGCAATTCACGCGGAGGCGCCTACCAACCAACCCCCCAACCCCAACCCCCAACCCCCCTCCACCAAAAACCTCCCAGGTGGCCCCTGAGACACGGGCGGTGATCGCGTGGATGGAGAAGGTGCCCTTCGTGCTGGGGGCCAACCTGCACGGCGGCGAGCTCCTGGTCACCTTCCCGTACGACATGGCCCGCGACTGGGCCCCCAGCGCCCTCACGCCCACGCCGGACGACGCCTTCTTCCGCTGGCTGGCCCTCGCCTTCTCCTCGGGCCACCGCGTCATGGCCGACGAGTCCCAGCGGCCCTGCCACTCGGACGACTTCGGCACGCGCACCGTCAACGGCGCAGAGTGGCACACCGTGCCTGGCAGTGAGTGCCTGGCAGGCGCGGGGGTTTGGTGGGTGGTGCCTGGGTGGTGGTGGTGGGTGGTGGTGGTGGTGGGTGGTGCCTGGTTGGTGGTGGTGGGTGGTGGTGGTGGTGGGTGGTGCCTGGTTGGTGGTGGTGGTGGGTGGTGGTGGTGGTGGTGGGTGGTAGTGGTGGTGGTGGGTGGTGCCTGGTTGGTGGTGGGTGGTGCCTGGTCGGTGGTGGGTGGTGGTGGGTGGTGCCTGGTTGGTGGTGGTTGGTGGTGGTGGGTGGTGGTGGTGGGTGGTGCCTGGTTGGTGGTGGTGGGTGGTTGTGGTGGTGGTGGGTGGTACCTGGTTGGTGGTGGCGGGCGGGGGTTTGGTGGGTGGTGCCTGGTTGGTGGTGATGGGTGGTGGTGGTGGTGGGTGGTGCGTGGTTGGTGGTGGTGGGTGGTGGTGGTGGTGGGTGGTGCCTGGTTGGTGGTGGGTGGTGGTTGATGTTGGTGGTTGCTGGTGGTTGATGTTGGTGGTTGGTGGTAGTGGTGGTGGTGGTTGATGTTGGTGGTTGCTGGTGGTTGATGTTGGTGGTTGGTGGTGGTGGTTGATGGTGGTGGTGGTGAATAATAAAGGTTTTAATAAAACGAAGAGACACCTTCCCCACTACCCACCCTCCCCCCAGGTATGAACGACTTCAGCTACCTGCACACCAATTGCTTTGAGATCACCATCGAGCTGAGCTGCGACAAGTTCCCCCATGCATCTCAGCTGCCCGGAGAGTGGGAGAACAATAAGGAGCCCCTCATGGTATTCATGGAGCAGGTGAGCGGATAGCCATCGACTCACCACCACACAGAGAGACCCAGAGACTCACCACGCAGATAGCCATCGACTCACCACCACACAGAGAGCCCCATAGACTCACCACACAGAGAAACGCATAGACTCACCACACAGAGAGACCCAGAGACTCACCACCACACAGAGAGACCCAGAGACTCACCACCACACAGAGAGACCCAGAGACTCACCACCACACAGAGAGACCCAGAGACTCACCACCACACAGAGAGACCCAGAGACTCACCACACAGAGAGAGACCCAGAGACTCACCACCACACAGAGAGGCACATAGACTCACCACCACACAGAGAGACCCAGAGACTCACCACCACACAGAGAGACTCAGAAACTCACCACCACACAGAGAGACCCAGAGACTCACCACCACACAGAGAGACCCAGAGACTCACCACCACACAGAGAGACCCAGAGACTCACCACCACACAGAGAGACCAAGAGACTCACCACCACACAGAGAGACCCAGAGACTCACCACCACACAGAGAGACTCAGAGACTCACCACCACACAGAGAGACCCATAGACTCACCACCACACAGAGAGACCCACAGACTCACCACACACAGAGACCCATAGACTCACCACACAGAGAGATCCATAGACTCACCACACAGAGAGACCCATAGACTCACCGCACACAGAGACCCATAGACTCACCACACAGAGAGACCCAGAGACTCACCACCACACAGAGAGACCCATAGATTCACCACACAGGGAGACACATAGACTCACCACACAGGGAGACACATAGACTCACCACACAGAGAGACCCATAGACTCACCACCACACAGAGAGACCCAGAGACTCACCACCACACAGAGAGACCCATAGACTCAACACCACACAGAGACCCAGAGACTCACCACCACACAGAGAGACCCAGAGACTCACCACCACACAGAGAGACCCATAGACTCACCACACAGAGAGACGCATAGACTCACCACACAAAGAGACCCATAGACTCACCACACAGAGAGATCCATAGACTCACCACACAGAGACCCATAGACTCACCACACAGAGAGATCCATAGACTCACCACACAGAGAGACCCATAGACTCACCACTACACAGAGAGACCCATAGACTCACCACACAGAGAGACGCATAGACTCACCACACAGAGAGACGCATAGACTCACCACACAGAGAGACCCATAGACTTACCGCACAGAGAGACCCATAGACTCACCACACAGAGAGACCCATAGACTCACCACACAGAGAGACCCATAAACTCACCACACAGAGAGACCCATAGACTCACCACGCAGAGAGACCCATGGACTCACACAGAGAGACCCATAGACTCACCACACAGAGAGACCCAGAGACTCACCACCACACAGAGAGACCCAGAGACTCACCACCACACAGAGAGACCCAGAGACTCACCACCACACAGAGAGACCCAGAGACTCACCACCACACAGAGAGACCCAGAGACTCACCACACAGAGAGAGACCCAGAGACTCACCACCACACAGAGAGGCACATAGACTCACCACCACACAGAGAGACCCAGAGACTCACCACCACACAGAGAGACTCAGAAACTCACCACCACACAGAGAGACCCAGAGACTCACCACCACACAGAGAGACCCAGAGACTCACCACCACACAGAGAGACCCAGAGACTCACCACCACACAGAGAGACCAAGAGACTCACCACCACACAGAGAGACCCAGAGACTCACCACCACACAGAGAGACTCAGAGACTCACCACCACACAGAGAGACCCAGAGACTCACCACCACACAGAGAGACCCACAGACTCACCACACACAGAGACCCATAGACTCACCACACAGAGAGATCCATAGACTCACCACACAGAGAGGCCCATAGACTCACCGCACACAGAGACCCATAGACTCACCACACAGAGAGACCCAGAGACTCACCACCACACAGAGAGACCCATAGATTCACCACACAGGGAGACACATAGACTCACCACACAGGGAGACACATAGACTCACCACACAGAGAGACCCATAGACTCACCACCACACAGAGAGACCCAGAGACTCACCACCACACAGAGAGACCCATAGACTCAACACCACACAGAGACCCAGAGACTCACCACCACACAGAGAGACCCAGAGACTCACCACCACACAGAGAGACCCATAGACTCACCACACAGAGAGACGCATAGACTCACCACACAAAGAGACCCATAGACTCACCACACAGAGAGATCCATAGACTCACCACACAGAGACCCATAGACTCACCACACAGAGAGACCCATAGACTCACCACGCAGAGAGACCCATGGACTCACACAGAGAGACCCATAGACTCACCACACAGAGAGACGCATAGACTCACCACACAGAGAGACGCATAGACTCACCACACAGAGAGACCCATAGACTTACCGCACAGAGAGGCCCATAGACTCACCACACAGAGAGACCCATAGACTCACCACACAGAGAGACCCATAAACTCACCACACAGAGAGACCCATAGACTCACCACGCAGAGAGGCCCATGGACTCACACAGAGGGAACCATAGACTCACCACACAGAGAGATCCATAGACTCACCACACAGAGACCCATAGACTCATCACACAGAGACCCATAGACTCATCACACAAAGAGACCCATAGACTGACCACACAGAGAGACGCATAGACTCACCACACAGAGAGACCCATAGACTCACCACACAGAGAGTTCCATAGACTCACCACACAGAGACTCATAGACTCACCACACAGAGAGACGCATAGACTCACCACACAGAGAGACCCATAGACTCACCACCACACAGAGAGACCCAGCGACTCACCACACAGAGACCCATAGACTCACCGCACAGAGAGACGCATAGACTCACCACGCAGATAGCCATCGACTCACCACACAGAGAGACCCATAGACTCACCACACAGAGAGACCCATAGACTCACCACACATAGAGACTCATAGACTCACCACACAGAGAGACCCATAGACTCATCACCACACAGAGAGACCCATAGACTCACCACCACACAGAGAGACCCATAGACTCACCACCACACAGAGAGACCCACAGACTCACCACACACAGAGACCCATAGACTCACCACACAGAGAGATCCATAGACTCACCACACAGAGAGACCCATAGACTCACCGCACACAGAGACCCATAGACTCACCACACAGAGAGACCCAGAGACTCACCACCACACAGAGAGACCCAGAGACTCACCACCACACAGAGAGACCCATAGACTCAACACCACACAGAGACCCAGAGACTCACCACCACACAGAGAGACCCAGAGACTCACCACCACACAGAGAGACCCATAGACTCACCACACAGAGAGACGCATAGACTCACCACACAAAGAGACCCATAGACTCACCACACAGAGAGATCCATAGACTCACCACACAGAGACCCATAGACTCACCACACAGAGAGACCCATAGACTCACCACGCAGAGAGACCCATGGACTCACACAGAGAGACCCATAGACTCACCACACAGAGAGAAGCATAGACTCACCACACAGAGAGACGCATAGACTCACCACACAGAGAGACCCATAGACTTACCGCACAGAGAGACCCATAGACTCACCACACAGAGAGACCCATAGACTCACCACACAGAGAGACCCATAAACTCACCACACAGAGAGACCCATAGACTCACCACGCAGAGAGGCCCATGGACTCACACAGAGAGACCCATAGACTCACCACACAGAGAGATCCATAGACTCACCACACAGAGACCCATAGACTCATCACACAGAGACCCATAGACTCATCACACAAAGAGACCCATAGACTGACCACACAGAGAGACGCATAGACTCACCACACAGAGAGACCCATAGACTCACCACACAGAGAGTTCCATAGACTCACCACACAGAGACTCATAGACTCACCACACAGAGAGACGCATAGACTCACCACACAGAGAGACCCATAGACTCACCACCACACAGAGAGACCCAGCGACTCACCACACAGAGACCCATAGACTCACCGCACAGAGAGACGCATAGACTCACCACGCAGATAGCCATCGACTCACCACACAGAGAGACCCATAGACTCACCACACAGAGAGACCCATAGACTCACCACACATAGAGACTCATAGACTCACCACACAGAGAGACCCATAGACTCATCACCACACAGAGAGACCCATAGACTCACCACCACACAGAGAGACCCATAGACTCACCACCACACAGAGAGACCCATAGACTCACCACCACACAGAGAGACCCATAGACTCACCACACAGAGAGACCCATAGACTCACCACACAGAGAGACCCATAGACTCACCACATAGAGACCCACAGACTCACCACACAGAGAGGCCCATAGACTCACCACACAGAGAGACCCATAGACTTACCACACAGAGAGATCCATAGACTCACCACACAGAGACCCATAGATTCACCACACAGAGACCCATAGACTCACCACGCAGAGAGACCCATAGGCTCACACAGAGACCCATAGACTCACCACACAGAGAGACCCATAGACTCACCACACAGAGAGACCCATAGACTCACCACACAGAGGCCCATAGACTCACCACGCAGAGAGACCCATAGACTCACACAGAGACCCATAGACTCACCACACAGAGAGACCCATAGACTCACCACACAGAGAGACCCATAGACTCACCACACACAGAGACCCATAGACTCACGACACAGAGAGACCCATAAACTCACCACGCAGAGAGACCCATAGACTCACCACACAGAGAGACCCATAGACTCACCACACAGAGACACCCATAGACTCATCACACAGAGAGACCCATAGACTCACCACGCAGAGAGACCCATAGACTTACCACACAGAGAGGCCCATAGACTCACCACACAGAGACCCATAGACTCACCACACAGAGAGACCCATAGACTCATCACACTTAGAGACCCATCGACTCACCACACAGAGAGGCCCATAGACTCACCACACAGAGAGACGCATAGACTCACCACACAAAGAGACCCATAGACTCACCACACAGAGAGATCCATAGACTCACCACACAGAGACCCATAGACTCACCACACAGAGAGATCCATAGACTCACCACACAGAGAGACCCATAGACTCACCACCACACAGAGAGACCCATAGACTCACCACACAGAGAGACGCATAGACTCACCACACAGAGAGTCGCATAGACTCACCACACAGAGAGACCCATAGACTCACCGCACAGAGAGACCCATAGACTCACCACACAGAGAGACCCATAGACTCACCACACAGAGAGACCCATAGACTCACCACGCAGAGAGACCCATGGACTCACATAGAGAGACCCATAGACTCACCACACAGAGAGATCCATAGACTCACCACACAGAGACCCATAGACTCATCACACAGAGACCCATAGACTCATCACACAAAGAGACCCATAGACTCACCACACAGAGAGACGCATAGACTCACCACACAGAGAGACCCATAGACTCACCACACAGAGAGTTCCATAGACTCACCACACAGAGACTCATAGACTCACCACACAGAGAAACGCATAGACTCACCACACAGAAAGACCCATAGACTCACCACCACACAGAGAGACCCAGCGACTCACCACACAGAGACCCATAGACTCACCGCACAGAGAGACCCATAGACTCACCACGCAGATAGCCATCGACTCACCACACAGAGAGACCCATAGACTCACCACACAGAGAGACCCATAGACTCACCACACAGAGAGACTCATAGACTCACCACACAGAGAGACCCATAGACTCACCACCACACAGAGAGACCCATAGACTCACCACCACACAGAGAGACCCATAGACTCACCACCACACAGAGAGACCCATAGACTCACCACCACACAGAGAGACCCATAGACTCACCACACAGAGAGACCCATAGACTCACCACACAGAGAGACCCATAGACTCACCAACTAGAGACCCACAGACTCACCACACAGAGAGGCCCATAGACTCACCACACAGAGAGTCCCATAGACTCACCACACAGAGAGATCCATAGACTCACCACACAGAGACCCATAGATTCACCACACAGAGACCCATAGACTCACCACGCAGAGAGACCCATAGACTCACACAGAGACCCATAGACTCACCACACAGAGAGACCCATAGACTCACCACACAGAGAGACCCATAGACTCACCACACAGAGGCCCATAGACTCACCACACAGAGACCCATAGACTCACCACACAGAGAGAACCATAGACTCATCACACTTAGAGACCCATCGACTCACCACACAGAGAGGCCCATAGACTCACGACACAGAGAGACGCATAGACTCACCACACAAAGAGACCCATAGACTCACCACACAGAGAGATCCATAGACTCACCACACAGAGACCCATAGACTCACCACACAGAGAGATCCATAGACTCACCACACAGAGAGACCCATAGACTCACCACCACACAGAGAGACCCATAGACTCACCACACAGAGAGACGCATAGACTCACCACACAGAGAGACGCATAGACTCACCACACAGAGAGACCCATAGACTCACCGCACAGAGAGACCCATAGACTCACCACACAGAGAGACCCATAGACTCACCACACAGAGAGACCCATAAACTCACCACACAGAGAGACCCATAGACTCACCACGCAGAGAGACCCATGGACTCACACAGAGAGACCCATAGACTCATCACACAGAGAGATCCATAGACTCACCACACAGAGACCCATAGACTCATCACACAGAGACCCATAGACTCATCACACAAAGAGACCCATAGACTCACCACACAGAGAGACGCATAGACTCACCACACAGAGAGACCCATAGACTCACCACACAGAGAGTTCCATAGACTCACCACACAGAGACTCATAGACTCACCACACAGAGAGACGCATAGACTCACCACACAGAAAGACCCATAGACTCACCACCACACAGAGAGACCCAGCGACTCACCACACAGAGACCCATAGACTCACCGCACAGAGAGACCCATAGACTCACCACGCAGATAGCCATCGACTCACCACACAGAGAGACCCATAGACTCACCACACAGAGGGACCCATAGACTCACCACACAGAGAGACTCATAGACTCACCACACAGAGAGACCCATAGACTCACCACCACACAGAGAGACCCATAGACTCACCACCACACAGAGAGACCCATAGACTCACCACCACACAGAGAGACCCATAGACTCACCACCACACAGAGAAACCCATAGACTCACCACACAGAGAGACCCATAGACTCACCACACAGAGAGACCCATAGACTCACCACATAGAGACCCACAGACTCACCACACAGAGAGGCCCATAGACTCACCACACAGAGAGACCCATAGACTCACCACACAGAGAGATCCATAGACTCACCACACAGAGACCCATAGATTCACCACACAGAGACCCATAGACTCACCACGCAGAGAGACCCATAGACTCACACAGAGACCCATAGACTCACCACACAGAGAGACCCATAGACTCACCACACAGAGAGACCCATAGACTCACCACACAGAGGCCCATAGACTCACCACGCAGAGAGACCCATAGACTCACACAGAGACCCATAGACTCACCACACAGAGAGACCCATAGACTCACCACACAGAGAGACCCATAGACTCACCACACACAGAGACCCATAGACTCACGACACAGAGAGATCCATAAACTCACCACGCAGAGAGACCCATAGACTCACCACACAGAGAGACCCATAGACTCACCACCCAGAGACACCCATAGACTCATCACACAGAGAGGCCCATAGACTCACCACGCAGAGAGACCCATAGACTTACCACACAGAGAGGCCCATAGACTCACCACACAGAGACCCATAGACTCACCACACAGAGAGACCCATAGACTCATCACACTTAGAGACCCATCGACTCACCACACAGAGAGGCCCATAGACTCACCACACAGAGAGACGCATAGACTCACCACACAGAGACCCATAGACTCACCACACAGAGACCCACAGACTCACCACACCGAGAGACCCATAGACTTACCACACAGAGACCCATAGACTCACCGCACAGAGAGACCCATAGACTCACCACGCAGATAGCCATCGACTCACCACACAGAGAGACCCATAGACTCACCACACAGAGAGACCCATAGACTCACCACACAGAGAGACTCATAGACTCACCACACAGAGAGACGCATAGACTCACCACACAGAGAGACCCATAGACTCACCACACAGAGAGATCAATAGACTCACCACACAGAGACCCATAGACTCACCACACAGAGACCCATAGACTCACCACGCAGAGAGACCCATAGACTCACACAGAGACACATAGACTCACCACACAGAGAGACCCATAGACTCACCATACAGAGAGACCCATAGACTCACCACACACAGAGACCCATAGACTCACCACACAGAGAGACCCATAGACTCACCACGCAGAGAGACCCATAGACTCACCACGCAGAGAGACCCATAGACTCACCACACAGAGAGACCCATAGACTCACCACACACAGAGGCCCATAGACTCACCACACAGAGACCCATAGACTCACCACACAGAGACCCATAGACTCACCACACAGAGACCCATAGACTCATCACACAGTGACCCATAGACTCACCACACAGAGACCCATAGTCTCACCACACAGAGACCCATAGACTCACCACACAGAGACCCATAGACTCCACTCTCTGAAACAAGGCAAAGCTAAAGTTCAGGGCCCCCACTCAAGTAGCTCAAGGGGTGCCCTCCCTCCATTCCTCCCTCCCCCTCTCCCTCTCTCACTCAATCCCCCTCTCTCCCCCCCTCCCCCCCACCCTCCCACCTCCCCCCCACCCTCCCCCCTCCCTCCCCGCTCCCTTCCAGGTCCACCGCGGGATCAAGGGCTTTGTGCGTGATGCCCTCACACAGCTCGGCATCGCTGGGGCGCTCGTCTCGGTGGACAGCATCAACCACGACATCCGCACCGGTACCGTGCGGCAGCGGCGGTGGTGGTGGTGGTGTTGATGGTGGTGGTCGTGGTGTAGATGGTGGTGGTGGTGGTGGTGTAGATGGTGGTGGTGGTGGTGGTGTAGATGGTGGTGGTGTAGATGGTGGTGGTGGTGGTGGTGTAGATGGTGGTGGTGGTGTAGATGGTGCTGGTGGTGATGGTGGTGTAGATGGTGGTGGTGGGTCAGGTGGTAGTGGTGGTGATGTAGGTGGTGGTGGTGTAGATGGTGGTGGTGGTGTTGATGGTAGTGGTGTAGATGGTGGTGGTGGTGGTGGTGGTGTAGATGGTGGTGGTGGTGGTGGTGTAGATGGTGGTGGTGTAGATGGTGGTGGTGGTGTAGATGGTGGTGGTGTAGATGGTGGTGGTGGTGGTGGTGGTGGTAGTGGTGGTGGTGGTGGTGGTGTAGATGGTGGTGGTGTAGATGGTGGTGGTGGTGGTGTAGATGGTTGTGGTGGTGGTGGTGTAGATGGTGGTGGTGGTGGTGTAGATGGTGGTGGTGGTGTAGATGGTGGTGGTGTAGATGGTGGTGGTGGTGGTGGTGATGGTGGTGTAGATGGTGCTGGTGGTGATGGTGGTGTAGATGGTGGTGGTGGGTCAGGTGGTAGTGGTGGTGATGTAGGTGGTGGTGGTGTAGATGGTGGTGATGGTGGTGATGGTGGTGATGATGTTGGTGGTGGTGATGATGGTGGTGATGGTGGTGATGATGGTGGTGATGGTGGTGATGGTGGTGATGATGGTGGTGATGGTGGCGATGGTGGTGATGGTGGTGATGATGTTGGTGGTGGTGATGATGGTGGTCATGGTGGCGATGGTGGTGATGATAGTGGTGATGATGTTGGTGGTGGTGATGGTGGTGATGATGTTGGTGGTGGTGATGATGGTGGTGATGGTGGTGATGATGTTGGTGATGATGTTGGTGATGGTGGCGATGATGGTGATGATGGTGGTGATGGTGGTGATGATGTTGGTGATGGTGGTGATGGTGGTGATGATGTTGGTGATGGTGGCGATGATGGTGATGATGGTGGTGATGGTGGTGATGATGTTGGTGATGGTGGTGATGGTGGTGACGATGTTGGTGATGGTGGCGATGATGGTGGTACCGCGCCTTCCACGCGCTCATCCACAATCCGTCCCCCCCCCCCCCGTCCACCCCGGCGTGTCGCCAGCCGGTGACGGTGACTACTGGCGGCTGCTGAATCCCGGCGAGTACTTGGTGACGGCGTGGGCGCCGGGGTACGACCGCCGCTCGCGCTCCTGCAGGGTCACCTTCAGCCTGGGCGCCACCGCCTGCGACTTCGAGCTGCAGCCTCTCATCAGCGGTACCGCCGGCGGGACCGGCAGGACCGGCGGGACCGGCAACACCTGTGGAACTGGTGGGACCGGCGAGACCGGCGAGACCGGCGAGACCGGCGAGACCGGCGAGACCGGCGAGACCGGCGAGACCGGCGAGACCGGCGAGACCGGCGAGACTGGCGAGACCGGCGAGACCGGCAACACCGTGCCCACATACCCATTCGGGTCGGTGGTGGCTGTGTAGGATTCGGGGCGACGGTGGTGGCTCTGTTGGTGGTGATAGCAGTGGTGGTGTAGATTGTGGTGGTGGTTGTGGTGGCGTAGAATGTGGTGGTGGTGGTGGTGGTGGTGGTGGTGTAGGCGGTTGTGGTGATGATGGTGGTAGTGTAGCGGTTAGCGCTTGGAACCCGACAGCACCGGTGACGATTATCTGAAGCGGTTCCTGGGACTCGCCTAGGTCGCTAACAGCACTTGCCCTGACAGTCTGTTGAGGGTTATACCGGGGGATCTTTGTCTCTGTTATCTTTGGTGTAGGTGGTGAACAAATATTGATCTCTATTCAGACAACAAAGACAAAGATCCCCAGTGCAGCCTTAACAGATTCTGTTAGCGAGTAGGGGGTGGGTGGTCAGCAGCACGCCTGGCAGACACACATAGACACACACACAGACACACATCGACACACACAGACACACATAAATACACACACAGACACATATAGACACACTCACACACACAGACACACATAGACACACACACAGACACACATAGACACACAGACACAGACACACATAGACACACACAGACACACATAGATACACACACAGACACACATAGACAACAACAACAACAACCGCCATTCGCCACTAAGTGGCGGTGACGTCACCACGACGCTTGTGCCAGGCCATGTGCACCCTGAGGCCACGTGAAGTGTCGAACGCCCGCCGGCAGGAGGTCACGGGGCAGATCCAGGTGCCACGGGTCGACTGACTGAGATGACTGGCTGATGCACCACCTGTGCCCCCTACTGTGCCAACCTGCTGTGCTTTAGCCACCCGGCGCTCCGCTCGCTGTTGTGAGCGTCGCTCCTCCGCCCTCCGTTGTTGTTGGAGGGCGACTGCCTCCAACTGCCCAGTAGCATCCTTCACGAGCCTCCTCCACAGAGGCCGATCTTGACACCGCTGGTACCAGTCATCGGCAAGTCCACTCAGCTCCACGTCCTCCTGTACCACATCACTCCATCTCTTCTCTAGCCCGTGCCGCGCCCGCTTAGCCCCCTCAATCCGGCCAAACAAAAGCTGTTTCGGCATGCGGTGGCTGGGCATGCGGGCTACATGACCCAGCCATCGCAGCCTTGCCTGCCGGAGGAGCTCACCGATGGGACCCTGCCCAGATCTTTCAAGGATTTGTGAGCTCCTCACACAATCCAGTCTGGTTAAACCCAGGATGGATCGTAGGCAGGCCAGCCTAAATGTTTCTAACCGGCGAAGATGTTCCATTAGGGGGGTCCACGTTTCGCAAGCGTAGAGAAGGGAGGGAATGACCGTGGCCGAGAAGACCTGAAGCTTAGTGCGGAGCGACAGACCAGGTAGCTTCCACACAGCGTTACGCAACCGATGAAAAGATATTGCCGCTCGACTGATTCGGAGTGAGACCTCTGCTGTTAAACTGGAGCCAGTCATAAGCACACTGCCCAGGTATGGGAAACTCTCCACTCTCTCCACAACTGCCCCATCACCGATTGGGAGTTGTGGGGGTGGAGTGTCCGATGGTACAAAATACCCAGGCAGGTGCTTAGTTTTGGTGGGGCTGATGGTAAGGCCCCACCTCTTAGTGGCACGCTCCAGTCTCAGCAGCAGCGTCTCCAACTCCTCCTCTGACTGAGCAGCTATTACCAAGTCATCAGCATACATAACGTGGTTGAGCAATAGGGAGCCATCCCTTGACCGCACCCGGGCATCGATTAGCCTCCCATTATATCTGTACCATATGGAGATTCCCCCGGTACAGCTATTGAAGGCTTCACGAACTACGTTGTCAAAATAGATGTTAAATAATGTGGGAGCCAGAGGACATCCCTGTCGCACCCCAAGGTGTACAGGGAATGGCTCTGACTCCCGGCCACGTAGTTTTACCCGGGCCCGCTCACCATCATGAAGGTCCTTAATGATCGTGAGCAGAGGGTCAGGTACTCCAAAAGCACGAAGAACGACCCAGAGCCCAGGCCTACTGATGGTATCATAGGCCTTGACCAGGTCAATAAAGCAGAGATGTAGGTCTTGTTGGAATTCCCTACACCTCTGCTGTAGCAGACGGACAGAAAATATGGCATCTGTGCAGGACCGCCCTTTCCTGAAACCGCATTGGGGCTCCGCAAGCCTCTCCTCAGCGTGCCTGGCAAGGCGATGCTGAATAATCCTTGCCAGGACCTTTCCCGGCACACTGAGGAGTGAGATGCCCCTGTAGTTGTTACAGTCTGTGCGGTCCCCCTTCTTAAAAAGGGGGACCACCAGGGCATCCTTCCAATCCTGCGGAACCCGTCCAGTGGTCCAGACCGTTGTTATGATGTCATATAGGGCAGTCTGTGCACAAACGCCACCCTCCCTCAGCATTTCGCTTGGGAGATCATCTCTGCCCGCTGCCTTTCCTGGTCTCAGACTCCGGATCGCCTTCAATACTTCCTCAGCAGATGGCACCTCAGCCAGCCACTCACAGGGGGTGACTTCATCCAATATTTGAGGCACCGCAGCCTCAGCAGGGTCATCCTCACTTTGTGCCACGATGTTTTCCTGGCTGAGGGATTTTCCCTCCCCCAGGATCTCACAGAAATGCTCAGCAAATCTGCGAACCTGTTCCTGGGGGTCGGAAATTGGATCACCGTTTTTTCCCCTAATGATGGTAATAGGTGTGGCGCTGCAGGTTACTTTTTTGATGGAGTTAAATAGAGATTTGTGATCACGGGCCACTGAGGCAGACTCCATCTCCTCAGCAACCCGCGACCACCACCCATCCTTGCAGCGCCTCACGGCTCTCCGAACCTCCGAGCGAAGGCTGCGGTAAGCCTCCTCATTCTCTGACGTGGGATTCTGTAGCCGATGACAGTGGGCCTGTCGCTTTTTCTCAACCATCGTGAACAACTCCTCTGTCATCCAGGGTGTCTGGGGAGGTCTGGACCGCGTACCCAAAGCAGCCATTGCAGCTGCATGAGTCACAGTCCTAAACCTCGCCCATTTACCCTCGACATCAGGAGGAGTCGGGGACGATGCCAATCCCAGCCGCAAGCGATGATGAAATTCTCGCTTGCAACTTTCATCAGATAACTGAGACCAGGCCACTTTAGGTTGGAATGGGGTCCTGGGTGTACACCCACCACCGGAGTGGAAGAATGGCAGGCGCATCTTACAGATGACTAGTCGATGGTCAGAGGGCAGATCAGCTCCACGGTAGGTCCTGGTGTCAAGGACATGGGCTCGCATTCGCTGGTCCGTCACTATGTAGTCCAGCAGATGTTCTTGCTTGGACCCGGCATGCATCCATGATGTTGTGTGGATGCGCCGATGCCGGAACAGCGTGTTGGTAATTACAAGCCCATGGGCTGCACAAAAATCTAGCAGCCTCCTACCGTTGTTATTGAGCTGATCTGGCCCATGCCCTCCAATCACTCCAGACCAGGTGCCAGTATCATGACCAACTCGGGCATTGAAGTCACCCAACATGATGACTCTATCCCGAGGGGCCACTTTAGCCAGCACCTGTGACAGGAGGTCATAGAAGGCATCTGACTCATCGGCTTTGCCTGCATCCCTCCACGGATGTTCATCTTCGGTGGGGGCATAAGTAACCACGACCACCATTCCTCGCCTCCGGTTGATGGGAAGGCGAGCCCAAAGTAGCCTGGGGCTTACAGCTTCCCACACCTCACCGCCACGCTCCCACGCCCCCTTCATTCTTTTGTTCAAAAGAAGACCCACACCCTGTTGTTTGGCAGTCTGCTGCCCCGAGTAGAGGACTGTCCACCCCTCATGGTGGCAGGAGCCAAAGCCGGTCCACAGAACCTCCTGAATGCCGCATAGATCCAGGCGGTACCGGTCCAGCTCCCGACAGAGGAGTGGCAGCCTCTCCTCTGCAGTGAGCGTTCGAACATTCCACGTGGCCAACCGTAGTGGCTTTTCGTTGTTTCTGGAGTAGCCCCGAGGGTAGGTATTCAATCTCCTGGCTCCGCCAATTGGGGTTTGGCCAGGAGACGTCATAGACGCCTGGCCCCCCGGGGCCTCCGGCACAAGCTTAGTTGTTACATATTTCAGTTTAATTCGTAGTTTCGTGGTAATTAATTGAAGGTGGAGGGGTTACCAGCCCCTCGCACCCGTCCAGAGCCCCCGTTTAGCCCCTGTGGTGGACACATATGCCATGAGGGGAGGAGCCAATCAAAATTGGATCTCCCCCCACAGCGCTGTCCACGACAGAGTTGCCCGTCCGGCACACACACAGACACACATAGACACACAGCCACAGACACACACATAGACAACAACAACCGCCATTCGCCACGAAGTGGGGGTGACGTAACCACGATACTTGTGCCAGACTATGTGCACCTTGAGGCCACGTGAAGTGTCGAACGCCCGTTGGCAGGAGGTCACGGGGCAGACCCAGGTGACACAGGTCGACTGACTGAGATGACCGAGATGACTGGCTGATGCACCACTTGTGCCCCCTACTGTGCCAACTTGCTGCGCTTTAGCCACCCGGCACTCCGTTCGTTGTTGTGAGCGTTGCTCCTCCCCCCTCCGTTGTGGTTGGAGGGCGACTGGCTCCAACTGCCCAGCAGCGTCTTTCACGAGCCTCCTCCACAGAGGCCGATCTTGACACCGCTGGTACCAGTCATCGGCAAGTCCACTCAGCTCCACATCCTCCTGTACCACATCTCTCCATCTCTTCTCTAGCCCGTGCCACACCCGTTTAGCCCCCTCTATCCGGCCAAACAAAAGCTCTTTAGGCATGCGGAGACTGGGCATGTGGGCTACATGACCCAGCCAACGCAGCCTTGCCTGCCGGAGGGGCTCACCGATGGGACTTTGCCCAGATCTTTCAAGGATTTGTGAGCTCCTCACACAATCCAGCCTGGTTAAACCAAGAATTGATCGTAGGCAGGCCAGCCTAAATGTTTCCAATTGGCGAAGATGCTCCATTAGGGGGGTCCACGTTTCGCAAGCGTAGAGAAGGGAGGGAATGACTGTGGCCGAGAAGACCTGAAGCTTCGTGCAAAGCGAAAGACCAGGTAGCTTACATACAGTGTTACGCAACCGATGA